AGCTCTTTCCATATCCGAAACGGACTAGGCTGGAGCATACAAGTATCACAGGTATGCCTTCCTGCGTCCGACATTGATCTATGTAACCAGGACACTGTTGTCTGAAAATCACCTTCTCCCCGGCCAGGGATCCCGCCGGACTTCGGAGAGTACTTTGAATCAATTTCGAAATTTAACGCACGCCAGCGATGGACCCTTCAATCATGAAACTCCTCGAAGAAGACGAGGTTCTCGCTACCCACCTGCGGCGAATATTTTCATTTCATTTCATTTGTACCAAGCGCATGCTCTTTTTGTTTTGTTGCTTGCTCTGTTTTAATTTGGGAAATTACAGTGTTTTTGAGGAGGGGATGATAGAAATTTGATGTTTCCGCAGGATGAAACAATGCATTCGGGGGCGGATGTGGAGGCGTTCACAGCTGCCCTAAATAGACATATCGAAGGAGTAGATACTTCCACATCTCAGCCTGCAGATTCCGGCGGCGGTAATTACCCTCGTTTTAGCTTCACTTACATTTCCTGGTGAATTACAGTAATTGATCCAAAACGATCTGTTCAGAAATATGCATTTTAAAAAAAAAATTAATAAAAGTATGATTATCTTCTGCAATAGGTACTTTAATCTTTCCATTCTAGTGCTTTGTGATATTTTGGCTCAAAATTTTACTGCGAATTCCCCCTTTTAGCTTGGACATATATTTTTCTTAATTCTTAGCATGATCACATTTTAGTGGAACTGCACATTTTCTTGTTCCTTTTTTTCGATTTTGCTAGTATTTTCCCATATTGTGTGAAGGAATTTCCGGCTTTCCTGTAATTTCCAATGTATATGAAAGTAACCAAGTACTACAGTGTTATCTCAAGGGAACAGTCACACCTCAAATCAGTTTGTTGACTGGCAAACCACCAGTCATGGTGAAAATACCATGCCTCAGAGTCTTCAGGATTCCAAGGACAATCTGCAGAAATCATATAATAATTCATCGGAAATGGAGCTAAAGCGGCAGGGTCAAGACACGGACAATCAACAACAAATTGATTTGTCGCAGGAGATGAATTCCCTCCCTCTACAGCATCTATCCTCCAAAGATGGACAGCCATCGCAGCCTGAACAACCCATGCTTCGACCAATGGACGTGCAGAGCTCTGATAAGAACTCTGTCCCTACACAGGAGCATAATAGAACACAAAACCCAGAACCTCAACATCTCAACTTGCATGGTATTAGTACTCAACAATCCATGTCCACAGCTATGACTGGTCAACAGTCGATGTCTGTTGGGACGAGTAGTCAGCAACCTGTCACAACAGGGATGATCAATCAAACAGATATGGCCTCAGCGACTGGCAGCCAATCTACGGGTAATGCACTTAAGCAAGGGAAACAAGTGCCATTTGCCATGTTATTCCCTCACATACAGCCCCAACTTGATAAAGACAGAGCCATGCAACTACAAACTCTGTACCATAAACTTAGGGTGGGTCACATAAACTGATTATTTCTCAACTGTCTTGCTGGTAGTGTTACTTGTATTTGGAAGATCCTAACTTTGGTTATATATTTTCAGAAAAATGAAATTACAAAGGAAGGCTTTGTTAAGCATATGAGAAGTCTTATAGGTGACCAAATGCTTAAGATGGCTGTATATAAATTTCAGTCTCAGGTGAGTAATTAAGCAACAAAGTTTCCGTTGTTATTATATCAATGTACTGCTCAATTTATAATTCTAAACTGAACTCAGGCTGCTAGGAATTCACAATCTGGACCTAATCAGTTTCCACCACAGTCTCAGGCTTCAACACCGCAACATCTGCAACCACCATCAAATGGTTCCATCCTATTCTTTAAACTTCACTCACTTCTATTTCTCATGAGAAACTTTCAACTGGCTTACTTTCTTAAATTTCACTTCTTCTTTGCAATGCAAATATCAATAGATTCAAGCAACATGGCAATCGATAGTAGTACTCAAAAATTGCATGAGGTGGAACACCAGGCAGATTTACATGGAGTGCCAGGAAACCAAGTGTCTTCTTCTAGTTTGAGTGCAATAAAACAAGAAAGGGAGCATCCACCATTTCCTCCTCTTCAGGGACTTAATAACCATCAACAAAAGCATCTGCACTTCTCGCAGGCATCTATTCCCCCATATGCGAATATGGGGAACAACTATCACCCTTATTCTGCAACAAATACTTCATCAATGTCAACACCTCTTAAACCACAACCACAGGATACACATATGAGGCCAATTTCAGCTCATCAGAGTATAGGTGCAACTCAATTAGGATCTGGAACTCAGACTATGAATATGATCAATACACCTAAATTTGATCAGAGGCAGAATTCTTATGCTGAACCAAGGAGAACTATTACTCACATGCCAAGTAGTTCAATTGCACAACAGGGTTCAGTTCACTGGCAATCATCAAGCAATAAGGAGCGAAGAAGTATACTTCCGCCACCCATGATGAATGTAAAAGCAGAACCAACAGATCAGTTACATGATCAGCAGCATAAGTCTCAGTTATCTTCTCCTTCCTTCACTCCTGTACAAAATGAACCTGGAGCTTCTACATTAGGACCTTCAAATGATGAAAGCTTTGAAATGCCATCCACTTCAATGGGCTTCTTACCAGCTGGACATCGGGTAGCTCAAAATTTACCCTCAAATCCCATGCCAACTCAAGTTGACACTAGTAATTCGGTAGTTTCCCTTACACTTTTATTGCTATGGTGAAAAACCATGTCCAAATTCAACTCTATATGAGGCTTCTCTTTATTATTATTATTATTATTATTATTATTATTATTATTATTAACTTACAAATAAATTTTGTATATATACAATTTTCTTTGTATGCATGCTATGTTTTCTACTTTAGTAAATTCAAACAAACTATATTTACCACTTGGCATAATCATTGTGTTGTTATGATTGAGGTTGCACTGAGAAATCAAAAAGAAGTAAGATAGATGGTCACTATACATCACAGTTGCAAAAATGAAGCTTGTGTCTAAGTTGTGGCATGAATCTAGAAATACAAAATTTCACATTTCTGTATAAGATGGAAGTTAAACCACAAAATTGGTGCATTGTCTTTCCTAAAGAGTTAAGGATGGCAATAAATGATTTCCTACTAGAAGTCTACACTTATCACATTTTTGCTTTGTTCTCTGCATCCTAGGTTTGCCTGTGTTTTTTGTATTTTATTCTTTGTTTCATTACCTGTCTTATTATTATAACCTTCAAGTATCTCTTACTTCACTTATCTATCAGATACTTCCTACTTTCTTTTTTGTCTTCGAGCTTGTCTAATCTCTTCCATTTATCAGCTGAATTCCAGCACACTTGCAGTAACGTCTCCCAGTGGGGTTGGAAATAATGTCAAAACTCCCTCGAAAAAGCCTTCAGTTGGCCAAAAGAAGCCACTGGATACACTTGGATCTTCACCTCCACCATCAGGGTAAAAAGCTTTCCTGCTTTTATTGCAGCTTTAGAGTGACTATTATGTACCGATATTATGTATCCTTTTTGTTTATTGTGGAACATTTACAGCAAAAAGCAAAAGGTATCTGGGGCCTTAGCAGATCAAAGTATTGAACAACTCAATGATGTCACTGCTGTTAGTGGAGTTAATCTCAGAGTAAGAACTTCCCTTTTCGACATCTTGGAACAACTGATCTCCTGGTTTCCAGGTGTAGTGAATTAGGTTTTACTTGTAGTTACAAACTCAGTATTGTGGTATAATGTGTAAAACAGGAAGAAGAGGAACAGCTATTTTCTGGTCCCAAGGAAGAAAGTCGAGTTTCTGAAGCTTCACGACGAGTTGTGCAAGAAGAAGAGGAGAAGCTAATTTTGCAGAAAATTCCACTTCAGAAGAAATTGACTGAAATAAGTTAAATATTTATATTTTATGTCCCTGAATGCTTCTGATACAAAACTCAACTGTGAAAGATCCAGCAATTCATGAAACAGATGGATTAAATTCTAAAACCTTCTTTTTTGTTTTTGTTTCTGATAGTGGGAAAATGTGGACTAAAGAATATGAGCAATGATGTAGAGCGGTGCTTATCATTGGTGGGGATCTTATTTTCTTTGTTTTCATAACTTAGTTGTAGATGTTTTTCATGCTACTAATTGGTCAACTTTCAGTGTGTTGAGGAAAGGATGTGTGCATTGATAAGTACTCTCATCAGACTGTCAAAACAGGTTGGTAATGCCTGTTTCTGTGTGTGTGTGTGTGTGTGTGTGTATGTATGTTGGGAACTATATTCATCTGTTTCCTACAAAAGAAATTATATAATGACACGTGTCTAAATGGGACTAAAATGCATGTTGTAGCGTGCTGACTTTGAGAAGACAAGACATAGAACAATTGTTACCTCTGATGTTCGCCAACAAATCATGGCAATGAACCGAAAGGCTCGGGAAGAATGGGAAAGGAAGCAATCTGAAGCAGAAAAAGTCCAAAAGACAAATGAAGTGAGTTTCCCTTGCATTTAGTAATACTAATATTTCTCTTGCTTTATAAGAGAATTTGTTCAGGGAATAATAAATTATAAATGTAATTACTGTCTCTGCAGCCAGATGGCGATGCTGCAGCTGATGGTGATAAGGATAAGGATGACAGTCAGGCAAAATCAGTGAAGGTATGAAGAATTATTTAATTCAAAATACTAGTCATGGATGTACATTAGAACATGACTGTTTCTTTCCCCCCTTTTCAATATTTGCAGGTAAACAAGGAAGAGGATGACAAGATGCGCACAACAGCTGCAAATGTTGCTGCTCGAGCTGCTGTTGGTGGAGATGACATGTTGTCAAAATGGCAGTTAATGGCAGAACAGGCTAAGCAGAAACGTGATGCGGCATCGAGCTCACATCCTGGTAAAGATATGCCCCAGAGGGCATCGTCATCCTCCAGTAGAAATACAAGGGACAACCAAGAAGCTGAAAAAAGGAGTTCATCAGCTGCCAGTATCACACCAGGTATGTTCGGATTTGATTTTGGCATTGGACTACATTGAGTTTTGGAACCATCTTGTACCAATAATGATTTAATGTACTATGGATGAGTAAGTAGGCGACTAATTATGAGGATTTACTGTGAAATATTTCTTTGCTTTCATTTAAACCCACATTTAGGTTCCAGACCTTCATAGCAGATCTTATTCAACAAGCACACGAGTATTAGACTGAGTTGTAGAAATGGACTGTTATATGCTCCCGTCATGGGCAAGAAAACACAAGGAAAAAAGAACAAAGAATAGTAGTTGGCAAAGGAAAAGAAGAAAACACTGGGTTTGCTTGAGACCCAAAACTCCCTTAGACCCTTTTTTGGGATTGAACTTCTGTTTTCTCTTTATTCTAAATAACACTCCCTTTTATAGGGCTGATTACAAAGATTCCTAAACTAAGAATGATTAATTATTTGGTAGTTTCTAAATAATTAATCTACCTAAACTAATTCGAAGACTAAGAGTAATGAGTTAAAATAAGACTTCTTAAATAATCATGCCCCCAGCATGTATCATTCACTTCTCCATGCCTTAGAATCTGATAAGATAAGACTTTTATGCTTATTATTCCTTCTAAAAGAATTTATTACTCTGAATATTTGTTTCTGTAGGTGATGATAGGAATGTTGGGAGAAATCAACTTGTGTCCCAAGCTAGAGTTGGTTGCAGTATTACTATCAAAGACGTAATAGCTGTCCTTGAAAGGGAGCCACAAACATCCAAGTCTACATTAGTTTATCGTTTGTATGAGAGAATTTGTTCCGATGGTTTGGCTGAATAGTTCCGGTGCCGTGTTTATGGAGTTCTTGTGCACCGTTAAGTGGCGAACAAATACATTTTCACGTTTTCCCCTCTTTGTTCCTTTTTCGTTTCTACCTATAGCATCTTGTTATTAGTTGATTATTATAGTCAGTTTGTTGAATAGAAGCTGTAAAAGGTGTACACTCATATTGCTTATATTTTTCAGCACTGTATCACAAATTCACAAGAAAGCTCTGTAGTGCCTTCTTTTTTATGCATGCTATGCTTTCCAGTTTCCAATATGTTGCTTTCTTATTCACATTCAACAGCACCTTCTTTTTTTTTTTTTTTCTTCACTTAACATTTATTGTGATTTTATCACCTTTTAATTTAATTTTAGTTTTAATTCTTACAAATATACTCCGTAATATATATGGACATTTCTGAAGGCCTTTATTTTGGTAAAACTCTTCATCTTTATAATCTTATTAGTTTATTGGAACTCTGATAACATATGTATATATTGAGTTGAAATGAAGAATAATAAAAGGATTTTTGATGGTTATTTCTCTCTCTTCTTCATTCATGCAGGGTTCCGCTGAACAACAATAATATTTGCACATTTGGTCTTTTAGTATGATTTTTATTAAATTGATGTTAATTTTTAAGATGCGGCTCAAATGTGTATGTAATCATTAAAATTGAAAACAGTAATGTGCCATTGTGTCAGGTTTTCCGTGACTGTGTGCTAAGACCCATGGAATAAATGACTCAATTGGTTAGCTTGCCAAATGGGAAAAAAAAGGTCAATAACGTTAAAGGTGTTCTGCTTTAGATGTTAAGATCTGGTTGAGTCGGGTATACTGACCCGATTAAGTTTGGGGAGCCCGTCGTTAGTTTTTAACTTGACTATGAAGGGGATTGATGTGATTCGAAAAGCACAATTGGTCAGGGTCATTCCCGTGATGAATTTATGGCAGGGTGAAACCAGTTTGACACGTATGAGGGTAAGACTAGTCCGCGCGATATGAGGGGTCCCAAAAAGCTACATAGGCGTTGTGTGTTGCGCTAGACTCTATGCTCATGACAATACATGTTTTGATTTTATTTGATAAAGACAAAAAAATTATGTCTCATTTTTGTTAGATAAATAAAAGTGTGACATGTCAATGTGGAAGTCGATTAAAAAATAGAATAAAAAATTAAAGTAGGTGTGAAAGTATTATTTGCTTTAATTAATTATCTAAATATACTACCCTCAAATTATGATTAGCACACTTCACAACTCGACAACTTAAGACAATTAGTAAGCAAATTGTTAATGTAACTTTAAACAGGATTCAACTTTTACGTTATAAATGTGACTCAAGTAGAATTTATATTAGTCACATAATGGTTTACATGTATTTAAAAAATAAATAAAAAAAAGGGGGGGGGGGGGGGGGGGGGGAGGGGGCTCATGTAGCCCAATACATATAACTATATAAGTAGAAAATGTCATTAGCTGTGGAACCGTGTCCACCTTGCAAGGTGGACACGGTTCTATGTTTATAATTACTGAACTATATGTTCATAATTATAAAGTTATATATTCATAATTTTTGAACTTCATATTCATAATTATTAAACTCTATATTCACAATTACAGAACTCTATGTTCATAATTATAAAGATATGTATTTATAATTTTTGAACTTCATATTCACAATTATTGAATCTCTATATTCATAATTACAGAATTATATGTTCATAATTATGTTCACAACTCTATGTTCATAATCATAGAACTATACATTCATAATTTTTGAACTATATATTCATAATTTTTGCAAGGTGAACACGGTTCCACGGCATAATTTGCCTTAGCTGTGCGCTTAGAAGCAGGCCCAAGAAAGATGCAAACGTTATAAACGATCGTTTTGGGAATAACATAACAGGCGTGGGAACGTGGGGTGGAGAGGGACAACATATAAAAAGGCTGGCTGGCTGGCTGGCGGGCGAGAGAGGAACTATAGCTTCAGATCCTTCGCCTCATCGGCGAGCAATCGGGTATGTCTCAAGCACGAGTCTACGCTGACGTCAACGTTCACCGTCCTAAGGATTATTGGGACTATGAAGCTCTTACCGTTCAATGGGGGTAAACACTGTTCTATTTACTCTTTACCTCCATAAACCCTAATTTCTCCCCCCGATTATGTTTTATTCCTTTTTCTACCTAATTGATCCTGAATGTTGCGTGTTTTTATTTGTAACATCGTTTTTCTGGTTTATAATGGATTGAGAACTTTTTAGTTTAGCTTTTGGTAGGTTCGTGTAGTTCCTACTTAGGCAAAATAAGAACAAGTGTGCTTTATGAGTAGTTATTCCTTAATTAGGTTTGAATTCTTATTAATTTGGTGATGTAAAATTAAACAAGTTAATCCTATTAGGTTATCTAGAAAACCGTGAAGGCTCATACATGGCAATTCGCTGATAATAAACTTTCCTGCCTTTGATGTTTGCAAGTTTGGATGAACTTTGAGCTGCAGTATTTTGATGTGTTCTGTTTTATCTGTATTCAGTGATCAGGATGACTATGAAGTTGTTCGGAAAGTGGGAAGAGGAAAATACAGTGAGGTCTTTGAAGGAGTAAATATCACCAACAATGAGAAGTGCATCATCAAAATACTTAAACCCGTGAAAAAGAAGAAGGTGTACTCTATGTTAGCTTTCCAATTTCAAATTATGAATACACTTTTTCCTCTCAATTGCCTCTCTATAGAGTTGTAGTATATACTATATACCTCAACAAAGGTTTTTTCCATGTGCCAAATTGTGGTTATATACCTATATCTCAAGTCAACTGTATCTAATGACAAATTTATTATTATTATTTTTTTAATGTCATTGCATAATTGAAACCTACCCAATGTGATCCTTTATCTGTTTGCTTAATCTACTCATATTGGTGGTATCTGTAGCCCTTTCTCTAACTGTATCTTGTTGTACCGAATCATTCTGTTACTTCTCTCTCCAAAAACTTCAAGCTTAAGCTTTTTCATTGATGCAGATAAAAAGGGAAATAAAAATACTTCAGAATCTTTGTGGAGGCCCAAATATTGTAAAACTCTATGATATTGTCAGAGACCAGCACTCAAAAACTCCCAGTTTGATTTTTGAATATGTGAACAGTACAGATTTCAAAGTCTTGTATCCGACACTGACTGATTATGACATCCGCTACTACATTTATGAGCTTCTCAAGGTTTCCTTTCCATATTCTGTCATAGAGAGAGCTTATTTTACATCGTTTCTTCTTTTTGCTCACCTCTGTAACTCTGTTATGGGCTTGCTGTGAGAGGGATTGGATGATTCTGTTCTTGGTAGTCCTATAGAATAATGGCAAATTCATTGATGAAGGCCTTCATAAATGCAGGCACTGGATTATTGCCATTCACAAGGAATAATGCACAGAGATGTTAAACCTCACAATGTCATGATTGATCATGAATTAAGAAAACTTCGTTTGATTGATTGGGGTCTTGCTGAGTTTTATCATCCTGGTAAAGAATACAATGTCAGAGTAGCCTCAAGGTAAGCTTCCCTTTCATTTATAGTTACATACTTTTTGTGACTTGTGAGTACTTATTGGATTTATACTAGTATGTGCGTGATGATGAAAATTTTTATTCTATTTGGTGTTATTATTTTTCTTTTCTTTTTGCCTAACTCAGGTACTTTAAGGGGCCTGAACTACTCGTGGATTTGCAAGACTATGATTATTCCTTGGACATGTGGAGTCTTGGCTGCATGTTCGCAGGAATGGTATGAGATTTGGTGTATAGAAACTCTCTTTTTAATGTGTCCAATGCAGCATTTAATTTAATGTTCCTTAACCTGCAGATCTTTAGGAAAGAGCCATTCTTCTATGGCCATGACAACCATGATCAACTTGTTAAAATTGCAAAGGTATTAAGTTGTTGACTTTCCATTTGGTATTACCATTTGAATTAATTGCATGGCATATTGATCATTGCAGCTCAGAGAAGGCGAGGATGATACCCCCACCTTCCTACTAAATTTATTGCTTATTCTGTACATATCTATACTTAATTGGCTGTTTAGTATCACAGACTAGATAACCCAACAATATTTGTCTGCTATTATTTTCTCTGCTTTCTCACCTGATGATAAATATTTTTTTTGGTGGTGCGGGTGATTTAATGCATTTATTTTGAAATTCCTAATAACTATTGGTAGAATTTGGATTTGGATTTATAATATTTTTTTCATTGCAAGCCCAAGTTTGCTTATCTGAAATGACCATCATATATGACAGAGGCTAGTCATGGCTGTCCAAATGCATTATTCGACACTGTGAGTCCTTGGGGGAACATGTGTTTCCTATAAATGTGCCTATAAAGTGTACTTGTAAAATTTTCAGGTTCTTGGCACAGACGAGTTAAATGCATATCTCAACAAATATCATCTGGAGCTTGATCCTCAACTTGATGCTCTGGTTGGAAGGTACTCAGATCCTAACTTGTCATCTTTTGGAATCGCCTATTATTGATACAGTATGTTTTGGGTTTAATTTGGCAATTTGAAGCATAGCTTCATTCAAAGTACTCTCTTTAAGGATAAAAACTGTTGTAACTGGTCCAACCAAAATTAAGTTGTAAAATGAATTCCCAAATCCCAGCATAACCCGTATTGAATTTTGAATTTTTCTCCCACAGGCACAGCAGGAAACCTTGGTCCCGATTTATTAATTCAGACAACCAGCATTTAGTTTCTCCAGAGGTTTGAAAATTTGTTCCTATCCATAAAATTTTACTTCTCATAAATAACTTGTCTTTATAATGTGTTTGTTTCTAATTTGAATTTCACGTATCATGTGCAGGCAATTGATTTCCTTGATAAGCTCCTTCGTTATGATCATCAAGACAGACTTACAGCTAAAGAAGCTATGGTAATTTTTTATGGCTTAATTTCCCCTTTCTTGTTTTCTTTTTTAATCATTCTGTGACAACCAATCTTTGAAATTAACAAAGTGGATGGTAATGAATTAAAGTTTAATCTATTGTGCTTTCTATGGCCTTGTGAGAGGGTGTCCAATCGTTTCCTTTTCTGTTTTAGGCACATCCATACTTCTTCCAAGTGAGGGCAGCTGAAAACAGCAGGGTGCGTACACAGTAGCGATGGCCCCCTCTATATACATCATGATTATTTGTAATGGAGTTGCAAAGCGCGTGTGTACATTGCTGTCAAAATGTCTTGATCACACACTTGGAACGACTTTTATGTAGTGATGAAAGTGCATGGCTCATTTATTTCCCCCACTTGAGCAGATTGATGAAGCTAACTTTAATTTTTACGTTAGCATTCTTCAACTCCCATATCCATTTGTGGGCTGTATATTCTATCGTAAATGTTGTGAACTGTGAATGTCATGTCAGCTCGCATGGCCTTTTCAGTACTACTACACATAAAATAGCTTGTTGGCATCTCATCAGTGTACTTGTTTGGGAATGCCTTGTTTACATTCAAGCTGCATGCCATTTGTTTCAGTGTGTAACATCGTACTTTGCTATGGAATTATGTCGTGAATCTGGTCTATTATATAGTTGATGATGATGATGATATCTGCTTGTTTGTTCTTCTCCTTCCTGTTTATTATCTCCTCCATTTTCCGGTGGCAATATTGCGGGTAAATGCATGAATTAATCCCCTCCCCAGTCGCCCGCATATCAAAGCCTCCCGCCATACAGAAATGGTAGAGGGGAAAAGAAATGAGAAGAAAATAAGGAAAGCATACATTAGCAATTGAAAGTGTGTCTGTGTATTTTCATGTCTAACGTTCCAGAAAGGTCTAAAGCATTATAGTTTCGACGTGGGCGAATCATAGTTGTTTCAATTGGCACCAAAGGAAACCCTCTCAGATAGTGCTCATTATAGCATAGTTTCCTGCAAATCTGAACCAAACTTGCCATTTGTACGTTTCAATGTTTCGGTAGGTAATGGGGCGGCTCCTCAGTCCTCAGGGAGTCAACAAGTGATCAATGCCTCCTTCCATTTCACCTAACATTACCTAAGATTTTGTTTTTATATATTAAAAAAAAAAAAAAAAAACTTCTAAAAATGTCATGAATACACATCTAATATCTTATTTCTCAACGTTCAAAAAATTCTATCAAATTCTCTCCTTTTCCAACTGTATATCTCTGTAAATGGTACCATGGAATAATTAAAGGCACCTATCTGGACTCCACTATTTATGTATTCAATTACTGGTATTAATTGTGTTTGAAAATTAAAGTGGTTTTCTGTTCTCCCATATTCACCTAACCTTACCTGGAGGGAGCCTCCTAAAGTACATCTAATTCAGCAAGGGGATTAGTCACTGTGTCCGACGAAAGAAACCTTGGGTATACCCAAAAAATATTCACCTAACCTTATTCCATTTCCCTTTTGCCTTATAAATACCCTTCCAACTCTCATACATATAATTCAATCCCATACTTGCATTACCATCTTCTTCAATCTTTAGTACTATATATAATTTCCGCTTGTTTAATCAATACATATATAAATATAGCCACTTCAATTCATGTTTGGAAAAATGAAGGTAGTTTTTGCAGCATTGATTCTTGCCACCCTTGTTCTTACTTCATCTTTCATCAACCCCACCCACGCTGATTCAGGTAATCCATCACCTTAATTTTCACTTTGATTCCTTAATCATATCAAATATCTATCAGTGCAAACAATCTTTTACTTGAGACAGAACATATTATTTAATTGTTATTAATTATACTTTCATAATTTGTTTGGAAAAATTTAGATTTTTGCGATTCCAAGTGCAAGGTGAGGTGCTCAAAGGCAGGGATGATGGACAGATGCTTGAAGTACTGTGGACTATGCTGTGAGGAATGCAACTGCGTGCCTTCAGGGACCTATGGAAACAAGGACGAGTGCCCTTGTTACAGGGACAAAAAGAACTCTAAGGGCAACCCCAAGTGCCCTTAATTCACCCTTAAACCATCTTAGCCCTGCCCGTCAATTCATCCACGCCGCCTCATAAAAAAGCATAACATCGTACCAGAACGAAATACAATATATCATCATAAGTATTTATATTGTGATTACAAAGGATATGCTGTTGTAATAACATGGCAGGGCTGAAATTATTAATATATATTTTGTTTACATATACGTATGTTTGATCAAACCACAGCGAATATATATGATTAGTATAGAGAACGTACGACAAGTGTAGAACCACTTGATCCATGAAAAAGGTTCCAACCAGGCACAGCTAAGCAGCTAGCTATCAGAAGCAGAATATATAAATTAAAGTTTATTCTGAATCAATGACAAATTTCTGTTTCTGAATCATTTGTTGCATGTCACGTCGATCGAGAATAAAGTTTAAAGTACATTGGAGGAAGGCATTTTTTGGAATCAACCATTAGCAAATAGAAAAATATTATGACATGGTAACATAATTAATTTATTACTCCTCATCCAAAAAAAAAAAAAAATAATTTATTAATCAATTTTGGTTTATTTGATTATTATTAATTGTTACTTGATTAAACAAACAATATCAGTATTTAATTACTCAATCTTTTTTGTAATAGTTTATTATTCTAAAATACTAAAATTCAAAAGACTGTAATTTTTTTGATCAATTTTTTTAGCAAATCATTTTGCATGTAATCATCTATCAACTAACAGTTAATTTATCAAATATTTTTCTATAATTATCAACTACTCAAACTTACTAACACAATCAGCTAACAATTATTTACCAAACACTCCCTATATGTAGGCTCATTCTCTGCTCTCAACTTTTACTCCACACTTAAAATTTTGATGTAGATACTTTTACCAGGATTCATATGAAGAAAATAACCTATCCAAACACGACACATGAAATAAATTTGAGAGTCATATAATAGAAGCCTTGGCAATATATAGATATAGGTTTGCAACTTCATCTCCTAGGTTAATGTCCCAAAACATTATTAATACAAGAAGATGACAAATGAAATGGCCCTAGGCTTATTCATATCTGGGAAAGAGTGGTCACCATCTCAGGACGGGGAGAACATTTAGCAATGAGAGGTGTAAGTTTAACAGCAATGAACCCACTGCTATCAGTCTTGTCAATCGTCTCCTTGCTAGGGTTTTCCCAGTCAAAGCATTGCAGCAGTAACCCTAACGCCAATTCAACCACCCGATACGCCAGATTTTCCCCCGGGCAGCTCCTTCTCCCTGATCCAAACGCCAAGAATTTGAACGCCTGATCTTTGCTGTTTTTAAACCTTTCGAATCTCTCTGGGATGAAGGTTTCAGGATCCTCCCATACCTTGGGGTCACGCTGAATCCCCCACGCGTTCACTAACACAATGGTTCCTTTTGGCACGCGGTACCCTCCCACGCTGCACTCCTCCCCGGAGAAGTGTGGCACCAGGAGCGGCGCCGCCGGCTGCAACCGTAATGTCTCGTTGATGATGCACCGGATGTATGGAAGCTTGCCCATGTCGGATTCCTCTACCAGCCGGCTGTGTCCAACTTGTAGGTCGAGTTCGGCTCTCGCCTTCTTCATGATTCTCGGATTCTCCAAAAGGTACGAGAAGGCCCACTCCAGTGTTGTCGCTGAGGTTTCAGATCCTGCCTGAAGTAGGACCTGCAAGTGGAAGAAACCATGCATGTTTGGCGGGACAATCCAAAAAAATTTCAAATCACACATAAGTCTTGTTTGATAAATGGCAGTTAACTGATTAGGTTAGAGGGTATAACTAACTGATAAACTGTTTGTTGTAATTAATAAAAAGTTAATTGAAATTGTTGTTTTGAATAATTATTTTGAATTTTAACAATTTAGAGTTACAAAAAATTGATTAATTAAACACTTATATTAATTTTTTAACCAAATCAAATAGTTAATAGTGATCAAATAAACTAAAATTGACTGATAACTAATTATTTTTCCAAACAAGCCGGCCTATATGTTAAAATGACCTATATATTGTTTTCTTGAATTGAACCGATCATCTACTAGCTATGGTAGTTTACTTTTGTCCACTAGAATCACAAGTATTGAATCCTTTCCTGACTAAGGTCACATACAATCAAGATTGAAAAAATTGCAAGGTGCCCTCTAGACGCTTGGGAACTGCTTAGAACACTAGTAGGTGCCTAAAGCACCTAGGTCCGCCTAACGCCTAGGCGCGATTTTTGCAACACTGACTAAGATAGAGGTGTATCCAATGCTTTGGACATCCAAAAATTAAACGAATGTAGTTGTTATGGCATAGCATGAAACAGATGATGAGATTTAGTGGGGTATTTGTATGCTTACATACAAGAGGCTGATGATGTTGTCATCTGAATAGTAATCAGCGTCAGTTTCCTTTTGCAGATCCATTAAAATTTCCAATATGGTCTTTTTCTTTCCTCCATCCTCCCCACCACCATTGCTCTTCACTTTCTGACGATGTTGCTCTAATAAATTACGCATGAATTGAGTCCTCCTAACCTTCATTTTCTCCATCTTCTTCACAATACCTTTGTATCCAACCCACTTCAGAACTGGGAAGTAATCCAGAACGCCGCTCTGAATCACCAGCTTTGTGGTTTCATCTCCAATTTCTTTGTAATGCTTGGCTTCAACCGCGTTCTCTACTTTCTCCCCATAAAACGATTTCCCAGTAATCATTCGGGTGATGATGTTGAACGTGTAATCATAAACCGCAGATTTCACTTCCACCATGTTGTCTGAAGTATTCTGGGACGATCTGAAGAGTCTGCGGATGAGAGACTCGGCTTCATCCACTCGAATCTCGGATAACAACTGGATCCTGTGGGCCGACAGAACTTCCATGGTGGAAAGCTTGCGGAGATTTCTCCAGTGTTCGCCATAGGAGGACCAAGCAAGGCTGGTGTACTCATACCCAAAGATCTTCCCGCCAAGAAACTTGGGCCGGTTCGCAAGAACAACATCGTTCTTGGTGAAACATTCCTCGGCCGCCGAAGGAGATGATACGAGGAGGACAGGGCGAGAGCCGAATTTGAGCAAGAGGACAGGGCCGTACCTGTTTGAGATTTTGTTCAAAGCTCGGTGGAAAGGTTGGGAGAGGAGATAGAAATGGCCGATGATGGGCAAGGCGGGGAAAGGGCTGGGCGGATGGTTTCGGAGCTTGTGGAAGAAATGGTAAGTGATGATATAAAAAGCTAAGAACAAAAATGGTGCGCAGAGGATTTGCAGGGCATCCATGGCGGATCTTCTCTCTAATAACTTCTAAAGAATGGAAAAATTATTGCAGGCGTCTGAATAAATTAAAGCACCGGCCTTAGCTTTTGTCTCTATATGTTTGACTTGTATCTGCCCTGTTTGTTTTTGTGTAGCAGAAAAAAAGTTGCAATTTTTCTTCTGCTGAACGGCAGGGAAGAAGAATTGATGGTGTTATATTATAAGCGTGATTTTCGATTGTGAATTGAAAGAGTGTAGGATTCACTGGCTTTTGAGGGGTTTCCGCTATCGATCCGACACGTTTCCTCTTCCACCGTGTTTTTCGCCACTGTTTTTTGTTTCGTTTCCCAAAGGGCTGACAACAATTGATGGGTCAGGGGTATTCAGGTGATCGGACTCAGCGCTTAGTCTCGGGACTACACCATTTAGCATTGGAGTCATGGACCCTGGAAGAAGGTTGAAAATTGGGGTGGGTGGAATCATATTCACAGTTACAAATTCTAATAAAGTAATTTTCGTTTCTTAATTAATTTTTTAATTGGTGGAGCCTTGGTTAAGGGGTTTTAATGCCTTAATTATGACAGAATTAGCATATGTATAAGTACCTCTGATTCTCTGAACAAGGGTTGTCAATGGGGAATTCTAAGCACTTTTGCAATCTTTTTTCATTTTCAAATTGTAATCTCATAAAATTTGCAATTATTCATCTTCATTTATATAATTCTCTCTTCTTTTAATAGTGGTCCCATTTCATATCAATTTATTAAAAAGATTATTTTTATTAATAAAGTAATAATTATAATTATTTTTTTTAATAATAATCATAAAAAAATAAAAAAGTACCTGGAAACTAGGTTTGCAATTCTGACAGGTTCATTGCAAATTTTGCAATCAAACCATTATTAGGTGGCATTCAAAAAATATTTAAAAAAAAAAAAAAAAAAAAAAAAAAAGCAAATCCCAAGTCATCTTGCAATCTCTCAATCGCAAGGATGCAGATGGCCTAAATCACATAAACACTCTCAGAGTCTAATATTACTTGCAGTGTTTATTTTCACATAATATGAGGGGTTGCGTTAGTGCGTAGATATGACCACGGTTCAGTTCGAACCGAATTATGTACTGTTACAAACAAATCGAAACTCATAGAATTCCGGTTTAGAGTTACGAAATTCTGAAACCGAAACTGTCGATTACGATTTTAAAACTGAAAAAAATAGGTATGTGGAATCGAACAGGCACGGTCCAAATAAGGTTCTGGTTTCAATTCCGGCTATCTTGGAATCAACAGTTCTGATTTGGAATCGGACCCAAATTGAACCGTGTGCTAGTCTTAGTGTGCCCTCAAAACCAACAGCAGTATTATACAAATTATAATTTTGAGTGGCGAGATAAACATTTTAGTCACTATCTAAAAATGAACTAGATAACCATAATTTGTATGCAGTGCAGGTAAGAGAGGTTAGCCAAATCTGATTCCTGGATTAATCGCTTCTGTCCGGTCCAATCATCGATAGATTTCCTTTTGCGCTGCCTTCAAGATTTGTGGGTGGTTTATTTAACACAAGTACGTGATAGTCCCCACTCCATAGTCCCGGCTGAGGTTTCTGTTCCTGCTCCAGTGCTCCTAACATAACCTATATATGCATTGAATTGAATGAAACAGTAAGACTATTGAAATTAATTAGTAATTAAAACATTAATAAAGAGATTACAGATCCTTGTGGGCATTGGCATTTGGTCTTGTTTAGTGTCTATTGAGTTACTTAGTCACTGTGATTTATATCATCTCAAATGCTCAAGGTGCGGGGCCCTTCGAATTTGGGATTCAACCTTTTGAGAAAAGAAAATATATGACAATTGCTGGAATATATATAATCTAGAAAGAGTTAATACCCAAAATTGTCATCGACTATAGTGGTTTTTCTCATTTTCGTCCTAAACGACTTTGGTGACCTAATATCGTTTCAGACTTTTGTGTTTCGCTCAATTTAGTCTCAAACTTTTGTATTTTTGCTCAATTTAGTCCTTCATTTGTTATTCTGTCCATTTGGTGTTAAATAAATAGACAATTTAGTAATTTTAATATTGGCATCTCTTTACTCATAGACATGTGAACTGCAAAATCTTTTTTTTTTTTACAAATTACTCCCAGAATTACTCCTAAAACTACGAATATAAAATTTGATTTGCAGGTCCGGGAGTAATTCTGGGTGTAATTCGTACAAGAAAGAGGAATTTCGCACTTCACAAGTTGAAAGTAAAAAGAGATCAATATTGACATTACTGAATTGTCCAGTTATTTAACATCAATTTGACGGAATAACAAATGGAGGACTAAATTGAGCGAAACACAAAAGTCTGGGACGATATTAGGTCACCAAAGTCGTTTAGGACGAAATTGAGAAAAACCACTATAATCGATGATGATTTTGGGTATTAACTCAATCTAGAAATTTATATATATTTTTAAAAAATCAAATTAACCATTAGATTGTTTAAGTTACTAAATTTTCAACAAGCTTTCTTAAATGGACAAATATAATGCAATTAAGTCCTATCATTACTCATATTATTGTTGATGAAAACTTTTTAAAATCTAATATTTTTTACAAAAGGAAATTAACTTAATTACTTAATAAGTAATAGTATGACCTAATAACAATATTTTACTAATTTAAGTAGGCTTATTAAAGCTTTTTTTTTTTTTTTTGTTCTTTTCAGACCTAATCACAATATCCATTGAAATTAGATTGACATTTAACTCTTTTTTTGGGGGCTTGATTGTGAGGAACTGAAAGAAATTTTCTATTAGTCAACGTTTATTCAAATTGAGTATACCTTATTCATGACTTTAGTTTGCGTATTAGGAATGTAATTTCCATCTAGAAGAGAGAACGGTCAAAGGACTAGAATCCTAAAATATATATTTATATTGATGATTTTTAATGAGATCATCTTTTGAGACTTAACATGTATACACAAATCTACTATATCTACTATACTAATAAGAGCCCAAGAGAGTTAGGCCTATAATGGGTAGAAAAAATGGCGGTCAAATTTTTTAATCAAATGAATGGCTCAGATTGATCAGATTTTAATTTTTCCTTAAGATTTCCTAATTTATCCCTAATGAATATGATTTTCCGTTAACTTTTCCGTTAAATATTATCTTTTCCATTAATTTCTGTTAGTTCACCGTTAACTTATTGATTTCATTAAGAAAGGTCTTAGGTTCGAATCTCATCCCAATCAAAGTTGGCATAATTAGTACTCTATTTTACTCTTATTAAATTACATAGTAATTTAATAGCTACAACAAAAAATAATACATATGCATTTCTTTAATTTAGAATTATGTGTCTACAATCTCTTTATTCAAAAAAAATTTATTCATTATCAATAAATTAAATAAGAGAAATAATTTCATTAGTTATATTGTATTTATTTTTTTCCAATATAAAAATTCTTTACATTCAAATTCATCAATTGATTATATTTGCTACATTGTCCCTACAATGTCTTAATTAAAAAAAGTTATTCATTATCAATAAATTAATTAAGAGAAATAATTTTATTAGTTATATTGTCTTTATATTTCTCCAATGTAAAAATTATTTACATTCAAATTCATCAATTGATTATATTCACTACATTGTCTATTATCTTTTTTTGTGCACTATTTTTTTAATTAAACATCAAAGTTATAATACAAAATAATGCTATATGTTTATTTACCAAGTATTTTATTAATACCATGAAAAAATTAAAAAAAATATATAATTAATAAAGTCAATCATATGAACTACTTGAGGGATTTGTTGACAAAGAGAGTATTCAAATCACACAACAAATTTAAGTGAGAACTACCTCGCAATGTCCTTGTTAGGCAATCAGCAGTTAGTTCTTCAATATTAGTATATATTTAATATTTTATGCCCTAATTTTTATTTGCTCTCCATTATGTCCCGTATTTGGTTTCAACCATACCTATACAATTATTTTATTGACAATTATAATCAATCTTGACTATATTATCTTGCATTTGTAAACTTAGAATTGCCTATTTAAATACGCAAATTTAACATTCAATTATCTATGCATGAACAATTCCAATATAATCTTGCCTTGATATACTTTAAAATACTTATTAAAAAAAAACATTGGGCATTATCCCAATCGCGCAATGCGCGTAAAAAACTAGTACTATACTAATAAGAGCCCAAGAGAGTTAGGCCTATAATGGGTAGAAAAAATGGTGGTCACAGATTTTAATCAAATAAATGGCTCAGATTGATTAAAAGATTGATCAGCTTTAAATTTTACACTAAAATTTCCTAAAATACCCACACACCGTTACTAATTCCGTTAAAATTTTAAGAATTGCCGTTAGTTCACCGTTAACTTACTCATTGATTTCAATAAAAAAAAAAAAAAAAAAAAAAAAAAAAAGGTCTTAGGTTCGAACCTCATCCTAATCAAAGTTGGCATAATTAGTACTCTATTTTACTCTTATTAAATTATATAAATAATAATTTAGTAGTTACAACAAAAAATAATACATATGCATTTTTTTAATTTAGAATTATGTGTCCACAATATCTTTATTCAAAAAAAAAATTATTCATTATCAATAAACTAAATAAGATAAATAATTTTATTAGTTATATTGTCTTTATTTTTCTTCAATATAAAAATTCTTTATATTCAAATTTATTAATTGATTATATTCAAATCACGCAACAAATTGAAGTGAGAACTACCTCGCAATGTCCTGGTTTGACAATCAGCAGTTAGCGGATTTATACTAGCGGATTTGACCAGCGAATTTATTTAATTATTAACATTTGGTAGAAAAAATAACCGCCAAATTATTAAATCAAATGGATGGTTCATATTGTTCAGGTTTTAATTTTGTTCTTTTAAGATTTTCTAATTTATCCTTAATTATATGATTATCACCGTTAGTCTAATTCTAATATTAAAGTCTAATATAGAATTATAACTACACCATTAATCTAATTCTAATATTAAAGTCTTAATAGAACTTAACCACAAATCCTAATGTCGGAATCTCCTCAAACAATATTAGTATATATTTAATATTTTATGCCCTAATTTTTATTTGTTCTCTCTTATGTCCCGTATTTGGTTTCAACCATACCTATACAATTATTTTATTGACAATTATAATCAATATTGACTATATTATCTTGCATTTGTAAACTTAGAATTACATATTTAACCCGCACGGACTTAGCTCAATGGTTTAGTGGTAAAAAGATATTTGAAATTATTAGATGTTTAGATTAAAATATAAAATGACCTAAGGGTATACATATAATAATAATAATAATAATAATAATAATAATAATAATAATAATAATAATAATAATAATAATAATAATAATAATAATAATAATATTTTTAAAAAATATAAAAATATAATTAAGTCAATCATATTAACTACTTGGGGATTTATTGACAAAAAGAGTATTCAAATCACACAACAAAATAAAGTAAGAAACTATCCCGCAATGTTCTTGTTTGGCAATCAGCAGTTAGCTCTTCAATATTAGTATATATTTAATATTTTATACCTTAATTTTTATTTGCTGTCTCTAGCTTATGTCCCGTATTTGGTTTTAACCATACTTATGCAATTATTTTATTGACAATTATAATCAATCTTAACTATATTATCTTCAATTTGTAAACTTAGAATTGCATATTTAAATACGCAAATTTAACATTTAATTATCTATGCATGAACAATTTCAATATAATCTTGCCTTAATATACTTTAAAGTACTTATTTTTTAAAAAAGAAGCTTTGGGCATTATTCCAATCGCGCAATGCGTGTAAAAAACAAGTTACTATATAAATGTACACAAATAATTCCAGAGTAAATTGTGTAATTTGAAATTAGATTTTAGATTGTATAAATTGTAAATTAAAAAAATATTAAGTTCATGAAAATAATGTTATAAGCTTCTTTAAAAAAAATATTTTATAACAATTAGTCAATTGTTGTCATTTTAATGAAACTGATTTCTCTTTTTAAAAATTTTAGGATTATTTTTATGAATTTAGGTTTATGATATTGACGCTAAGTAAACATTTAGTTAAGTATAAAAATATTGTTTCATCTTATCCACATTTCACAAGTAATTCATAAATCATAATATAGAAGACAATTTTAACTAAATTGATCAGATACCAGGACTATGTGGTCTAATGGTACTCGGGTTGGACTTCCATTTGGAAGATTATTATGAGTTCAAGCCTTAGTGGAGGCGTTATTGGTTCTTTGTGTTTCAGTAGGTTGAGAAAAGATATGAACAGATAACAATTGCAAATTATTTTGTAAATCAAAAGCAATTGATAATTAATTTGATATAATACTATTAGTCAAACCACGCGAGTTTACCATCTCTTTCAACTATTCTTTAATTTATTTATTTATTTTATTTTTTTTTTGAAACACTCTTTCAACTATTCTTAATTGATTGATCATACCTTTAAAAGCAATGAAAATATTAATTGGATAGATTAAGACGACGGATGCTCCACCCATCTTAAAATGACAAAATAATTTAGCACTTTTTTTCTTAAAACATTATTTTGCCATTGTATAAAAATCTGAATACAAATTGTTAAACATGATGACGAAAGACTAAGCATATCCACACAATCCTCTAGTGGACTATCTTCAATAAGTGACTTATTTGATAATTAATTTTTCGAAAAAATGATTCAACATTTGATTGACCTTAATTTTCAAATAGCTAATATGTCTATATTAATAAGTCTCAATCAAGTTATGCATAACAATAACTTAAAAATGTTCGTCCAATTATTTGATGAAATTGATAGTTTTGGTTATTTTGATTTTAGTTTTTTATTTTATTTTCCTACGTTACCCTCTATTATATTATTTTCTTCTTTTAAATACCCATGCACTCTGTGTTTGTATAAACTCTAGTAGCAGAAAATCTTGTTAACTATTTATTATTATTCTTAACTTACCCATTAATTTTCATAAGGAATATTTTAGGTCCGAACCTCATTCCAATCAGTTTACATAATTGTTGAACATAATATGAATATGTTAGAGTGTACTAATAAAATATATTATAAAATGTAATTTAATTCTAAAATCGTTTTCTTGCATTTCTTTTAAAATAAAAATATATGTTAAGTTTTTTTTTTTGTTTAATTAATATTCTTTTGATTTGTTAGAACAATACTCAATTTTACTATATATATATATATATATATATATATATATATATATATATATGTGTGTGTGTGTGTGTGTGTGTGTGTGTGTGTGTGACCGAATGTCCAAGAAAGAATTGAGAATCAATCGCAGTCGTCCATGTGTCTAGATTTAACGGATCATATGTAATTTTTAAAAAGACGCGGTGACATTTTCATAAATAATTCAAACTTTGGTGCAAGTAACATGTGTTAAAATATCTCAATTTTGACTTATTTGACCACTATTAATTGTTTAATTTAGTTAAAATATCAATATAAATCTTTGGTTAATTAGCGTTTTGCAACTCCAAAAGGCTAAAATTCAAAAAGTAACTAAATCAACTTTTTCAATTAGTTTTTTTAGAAAATAAATATACTAAACAGCTATCAACTAACAATTAATATACCAGGGCCGGATTTTAGGCTGTGCAAGCTGGGCTACCGCACAGGGCCCCCAATTTTAGAGGGGCCCCAAATTTTAGATGTTCAATATTTAATTTTTACCTAGCTAGTTTAGAAATAAAAATTAAAAATTTTCAATTAAACTTAAAAGGTTTTATGAAGAGATGGTAAGAATGTGTATTTATTGTACTTTACCTTGGAGGTCAAAAGTCTGAAACAAATATGGCCCTATAATTTACCAAACACTTTTCTACCATCACTAATGTTATCAACTATGTATACCCTCTAATTAACACAAGCTATTATTTACTCTAACGAGATTCATGTGATGGTGATTGGTGCTACTTACTAACTAGGGGTTTTCCTCGAGATAATTTTTTTAAAAAAATTTAGTTAAATAATTTTAAAATAAAGAATCAATGAAGACATAATTATAGAGAGTGATCAAGTTTGACTTTTTCTTGACTTTTGTTATAATTTTAAATGTGAAGACGTCACGTCATAGCTTAGCTATTATCACTTCTACTCTTTCATTTTTACAATATTCTATACCATTGTTGTCAATTTGATCAATGTAATATTATTATTTTTCTCAGGAGGGGGGATTTCAGTCTTAGTCTCTGATTCTTCCCTGAGAGCATAGTTCAATTTTTGTCCACATTTTTATTGGTTGATTATTAACTACTCCGTATATTTTACAAGCACATACTTGATACTTCCCCCATAGGAAGAAAAAGAAACAGAGAAAAATAGACCATTGTTCAAAAGTAAAACAGAGTAATTAATTAGGTATATTAATATTAATACTAGAGCTCTTAGCAACAGACATGTTCGCCGCCATGTTTTTAGATCTTCTAGACTCCAGTCTGAGAAAGCAGATCGGCGACGAAAGGTCGCGTCTTGCAGTTGGCCGTCAACGGCAAAGCTTTGGGCATAGTTAATCCAATCCCTTCGGTCATATCCACCATTTCACTGCCAATTCTTTCCCAATCAAAGCATTGGATCAAAGATCCCAACGACAGCCCAACCATACGCAACGCCAGTCCTTCGCCGGGGCAGCTTCTCCTCCCAGATCCAAAAGGCATCATCTTGAACCCATCTCTTACTCCGGCAAACCCTTCAAATCTCTCCGGCTTGAACTTTTCCGGTTCATCCCAGTACTTGGGGTCTCTTTGGATAGAATACACGTTGATCATGAGCATTGTGCCGGCGGGGACACGGTAGCCGCCGACGGTGCACTCCTCTGAGGACTCGTGAGGGACTAACAGAGGGCCGGCAGGGAACATTCTCATTATTTCGTTCAATATGCAGTGCAGGTACGGCAGGTTACCCAAATCAGATTCCTGGATTAATCGCTTCTGTCCGGTCAAATCATCGATCTCCTTTTGCGCCGCCTTCAAGATTTCTGGGTGGTTTAGCAGAAGTGATAGCCCCCACTCCATTGTCCCCGCCGATGTCTCTGTTCCTGCTGCTAACATAACCTGTGCATTCAGTTATTTTTCAAGATTGTTGAGTTTGTCTTATATGAATTAAGAATATTCTTTGTTTGGAGTGAAGTTATATTGGAAAATAGGAATTTAAACATAAGATACTCCGATTGATCCTGTTATAACTCACCGACATGAGGCCTCTGATAATTTCATCCTGATAATATTCAGGTTCGTTTTCTTGGAGTTTCAGCAGCACTTGAACAAATGATTTCTTCTTCCCCTCCGTATCCTCCCCAGTACTGATGTTTTCTGCAATTTTTTTCCGGCAGTCTTCGATCAAGTCCTGCATGAAAGCGTCTCTACTCCGTTGCACCTTCACAAACCTCTTCTCCAAGCTCCGGAACACCTTCGTCAACGACGGCACGAAGTCTGCCACGTTGGTTACCCCACTGATGAGTAAAATCTCTGAAACGATCTCCCTGAACCGGTTTGCCTCTTTCAGATCCTCCACGTTCTCGCCGAAGTACCGTTTCCCGGCGATCATCCTCATCATGAGGTTCAACATCAGCTCGAAAAACACGCTCTTCATCTCAACCGGAGATCCTCCTGCTTTGGAGGATGAATCTATCTTTCTTATCATGTGCTTCACCTCGTCCGCGCGAATGTCGTGGAGCATCTGGAGGCGATGGGTGGACAGGATTTCGGTGGCGGAGATTCTGCGGAGGTTCCGCCAGTGGTCGCCGTAGGGGGTCCACGCTAGGGAAGTGTAGTTGCAGCCTATGTACTTTCCGGCCATCAGACGGGGCCGGTTTGCGAAAACGACGTCGTGCTTCGACAGACACTCCTCCGCCGCGGAAGGGGAGGAGACCAACAGGACTTTCCGGGAGCCGAAGTCGAGGAGGAGGACGGGGCCATAGCGGTTGGAGATATTGGTCAAGGATCGGTGGAGAGGTTTCTTAAAGAGGTAGAGATGACCGAGGAGTGGGAGAGTGAGGAACGGCGCCGGTGGGTGGTTCTTGAATTTCCGGTGAAAGTGTTTGGAGATTAGGTACAAGGGTAAGAAGAGGGCAAGATACAATAATGGATTAAGAATGTAATCCATGGATTCCAAGATTTTTGGTGGGAGTGATCAAATGTTGGGTTGAGAAAGTTTGGTAGAATGATAACGAAATTTATAGATATTTTTTTAATGAAAAATAATAGATGTATTTTATGGAGTTTTATTAGAGAACAAAATAAATAAATAAAAATTATAATTTATTATTTTATTAAGCAATCATACATTATTAGAAAAAAAATGTAAAATTACTGTTTTTGACATCCAAGACTTTTTTTTTTTTTTTTTTTTTTTTTTGAAAGCACATCCAAGACTTTAGTTGACGTGTTAGGAAATAGGAATATTATCCCAATCTAGAAGGCAAAAGTCACAGAACGGTCCCACAATAGAACAACAAATCAAAATAATAGAAAACACAAATTTAGGGGGAAGAAAACCAAAATTTTCATCTATTCTGAGGTAGGAAATTTCCACGAGCTTGGAAAACAAAGGATGTTTAGCTCTAAGGAATGAGTACCAAAGTGATTAATATTGTTTGGTTGATATATTTTTAGAATATTATTATGTGTTTCAAATATTATTTAATTGAAAAATTTATACTTAAATAAAAGAGTTAATACCTAAAATGGTCCATCGACTATGCTATAATTACCAATTTGGTCCTCAACTACCATTCTTAACCAATTAAGTTATCAACTATGTAACTTTTAATCAATTAAGTCCTCAACTATACAATTCTTACCCAATTTAGTCCTCAACTATACAATTCTTACCCAATTTAGTCCACTGTATTAATTTGACTGTTTGTTGATTGTCAAAAGTCGGGATAAAATTATAATTTTACAAGATTTCTCCTTCCTCTCCATTTAGCAGCGCCAAACCATGCAGCAATATACTCCGATCAGATTTCGATCGTCAAAAAATCGTTGGAAATCAAATTCATGGGCTATCCGATGCATAACCACTGCTTCAGTACTGACAGGTTTAGAACCCAACCGGAGCTTATTGCTACATGGTTTGGCGCTGCTAACTGAGGATGAAGGAGAAAACTTGTAAAATTACAACTTTATTTCCACTTTTGACAGTCAACAAACAGTCAAAATGACAAAGGACTAAATTGGGTAAAAATTGTATACTTGAGGACTTAATTGGGTAAGAATGATAGTCAAGGACCAAATTGGTAATTACGACATAGTCAAGGGACTATTTTGGGTATTAACTCTAAATAAAATAACAGGGCGTTTGGTTGGAGGGATTTTAAATTCCCTTCCCACTTAATTTCCACCTAATTCCAAAGACCATTAAATTCCGTAGTTTGGTTGGAGGGAATTGCAATTCCCCCATTTTCATGGAATTAAAATCCCATGTCCCCCCTTGGTATTTTAATTCCTGGGAAAAAAAGATAGTGATGAGTCAAAATTACCCCTTCATTTTTTAACCTAAAATTAATGTCTAACAACAATAATGGACATTTTTTACTTTATACTACTTATTCCTTTTCAATTCCCATGTATACCAAACATTGGAATTGAAATTCCCAGTAATTTTATTCCTGTCAACCAAACACTGGAATTTAAATTCCCACTTTATTCCCAATAATTCAACTCCCATTGAATTACAATTCCTTTCCCACATAATTCCCTCCCTCCAACCAAACGCCCTGTAAAAGTATTATCCCTTTTTATTCTTGTATTTCTTGTCATCCCCTTTGATTAATGTTTTTAGACTTTTGATTATTCACATTCCACTCTACTACCAAACATGCAAAATACTTTCATTAAAATCCATTATTAGTACCAAGTATTTGATACCTATTCCAATTCTGATTCCCATGTGTGAACCAAGCACACTCAAAAACTTTTAACTATCAACTTGGACCAAGCACCAAGGTTGTCTATTAATCATTGAAAATTGAAAAGTAAGATATGCTACTATTTACTGTCATTAGAGTATTTGCAACAGTTGTGATTTTTAAAAAGCATTTTGCATGTGTAATTATAAAATAGAAGATATGAGGGAAGATGAAAAGGGGAAAAAAAATGAAAATATAAGCTATTCCGCACCCGTTGGAAGCGCGTTTCGGTGCACCCTGTCTTCTCCACGCAGGACCCGCTTTTCTGATAAAAATCGACTCTTTGTAAGAGGATTTTTTTTCTCCTCACCCTCTGTCCTCCACGTCATCTTTGTAGGAGGATTTTTGTTTTTTTTTTTCTCTCCTCACCCTCTGTCATCCACGTCATCATTATTTTCTCAAAAACCCAACAAAAAATCATTGGTGAATATTTATGATTATTTACAAGGTAGTATATGTTCTATGCTTTCTCAAACATTTTCAACCCAAAGAATCTAAGCCTCCAACCATGCACTTGGATGGATAACCTGAATATCATCACACTAAATGATAGTTGACATGTTCTAAGATTGATTAGTCCATTAAATTCAACTTATTTCTCAAATAAAAATGTTACACCTATTTACAAATTATACTTCCAATTTTTATTTTCACTAAATATTTAATTTTTATTAAATAAAAAAAAAGAACAAAAATCATGATTCACCATTTTTTATTACACAATTAAAACATGTCATATAATATGAAATAAAAAAATAATAAAATAAGAAATAAGAGTCCATATAGTAGGTACTTTTTTTCAAAAGTACTCATTTCTTGTTTGAGTAAACTTTTTTCGTTTTCAAACTATACATTTTAATCATGGTAACTTTATTTACCCATTAAATAGAATTATCAAATATCTGCTACCACAAAAAAAAAACAATCATCTTTGCCGTGTGAATTTCAGTCCAAGTCTTCCGTCGTATTTGGCTTGCTTATTACTGCAAGTGTCAAATTTCCAACATCAATGTGCATTTGTTTTTTCTTCCAATTTTCCATGCTCCCCCCACCCACCTCAAAAGGACAAAATACTTTATCCTTTTAATAAAATACGAATCATGAAAAAAATATATATTAAATTATTAAGGAATAAAGATCAAATAGGCCATTGAACTGCACACAATAATGCAATTAGGCCACTGAACCTTAAAAAATAACAATTAGGTCACTAAACTAACAAATTTCATTCAATTAGTCTAATTTACAGGTTTTGTAGGTTAGTAACAGGTCACCTAAAAAATTAAAAATATTTTTTAAAATTTTATTATTTAAAAATAATAAATTAAAATTAAAAAAAAAAAAAAAACGTTTCTTCGCTCTGCCAGAGACGAAGAAAGTTTCTTCATCTCAGGCCAGAGAAGAAGAACTTTCTTCGTCTCCATGGCCGGAGACGAAGAAACTTGTCTCCGGCGTAGACGGTTAAACTTTTTTTTTTAAAAAAAATTTAAATTATTATTTTTAAATAATAATTAAAAAATATATATTTTACAATTTTGGTGACCTGTTACTAACTTGTAAAACCTGTAAATTGACTTAATTGCATGAAAATTGTTAGTTTAGGGATCCTATTGTTGTTTTTTTTAGGTTCAATGACCTAATTGCATTATTCTGTGCAATTCGATGGCCTATTTGACCCTTATTCCAATTATTAATGTAATCCAGAACTACCTAAACCATGTTTAGTAACATAATTAGCTTACAACAATTTTGACTTATTTGACCACTATTAATTATTTGACTTTGTTAAACATTCAATATAAGTGTTTGATTAATTAACTTTTTATAATAACTTATTGATCTAAAATGTTAAAATTCAAAAAGTTAGTAAAGTGGTTTTTTCTGTCAATTTTTTTAAAAAAGTCATTTTGCATGTAATCTAATTTATCAAACATCTTTCTCCAATCAGCTGATGTTATCAACAAATCAAACCTACTAACACAATCAACTAACAGATATATATTTACCAAACACCATATTCTTTAGTTAAGTTGGTCAAATAATTGAGTTAATAAACACAAAGCTAAATTCAACCTCCTATGGCTATGAGAGTTAAGTTTTAAATTTTTTTTTTTCATTTATCCTATTTAAAATTGACAAAAAATTATACTCCGTAATTGAATTTAAATGGTAAGTATTAAACAAATTACCATCCAGTGAATTCAAATTTCGTATATATGCATAATGCATTATGTTTTCTTTTTCAATTTCATTAATTCCACACTGAAAATCATTCTTGTTCTTCTGTATAGAACATACATATCTAGCACATAACGAGTTACTGACAAGCAGAAATATACAATATGGGATAAAAAAAATATATAAGGAAGATTGCTCATGATCTGGCAAGGACATCCTCGCACAACATGCAGTCTTCAAGTCGTCGGAGAAAGAAGACCGGCGACGAAAGGTCGTGGCTTGCAGTTGGCCGTCAACGGCGTAGCTTTGGGCATGCTTAACCCAGTTCCTTCAGTCATATCCACCATCTCACCGCCGATTCTTTCCCAGTCAAAGCATTGGATCAACGACCCCAACGACAGCCCAACCATACGCAACCCCAGTGCTTCTCCAGGGCAGCTTCTCCTTCCAGACCCAAAAGGCATCATCTTGTACCCATCTCTCATCACTCCTTCTGAGCCTTGAAACCTCTCCGGCCTGAACTTTTCCGGCTCGTCCCAGTTCTTGGGGTCTCTTTGGATGGAGTACAAGTTGATCATCAGCATTGTGCCGGCGGGGATACGGTAGCCGGCGACGGTGCACTCTTCTGAGGACTCGTGGGGGATTAACAGAGGGCCAACAGGGTACATTCTCAACGTTTCTTTTAGTATGCAGTTCAGGTAAGGGAGATTGGCCAAATCTGACTCCTCGAGTAGCCGTTCATGTCCGACCCGATCGTCAATCTCCATTTGCGCCTTCTTCAAGACTTGTGGGTGGTTTAGCAGAAGTGATAGCCCCCACTCCATAGTCCCCGATGATGTATCTGTTCCCGCTGCTAACATAACCTGTATATACACAAAGTGGATATGTAAATTAGAGCGAATATCAATTTTGGTCTCACCAGTATTAGCAATATCAATTTTAAACATCATCACGAGTATTAGTAAAATGACAGTTTTGGTCCACATATTTAATTCATACTAACTTTCATCAACTACTATTGTTTTAATGTCAAAATTCGTCACGCCGATTGCCCACCGATTAAGATATGTCAAAATCTAAAAAATTTTCGTCCTTTTCAATTTAAAATACCAATTTGAGCATTAATAAAATGATTTAAGCCCTCACAGTTCCCAGTTATGAACCCTACCTTAATTTGATGAGGAATAATTGCGAATTAGGATCAATCTTAGGCTTAAATCTCTGTATTCATGCTCAAATTAAGATATTAATTTGAAAAAAAAAACATGAAAATACCTTTAGTAATTTCATATTTCGGCATGTCTTAAACAAATGGGCGACCAACATGATGAATATATTAATAATAAAACAATAGTCAAAAATGAAAATTGATATTTAAATAATAATTGTAGATGAAAATTGATATTAAAATAATAATTATGAATAGGAATTAAACATATAGATCAAAACTCCCACTGCTATTTTGGAACAAAATTGATATTTTTTTTTTGAAAGCTAAGGAAATTATATTGCATTAAACTGACTTTCAAAAAAAATATTGCATTAAACTGAAGACGAGCCAAGGAAAATTGGTATTTAATTTGCTTAGTAAATTATTAATTTTTTGACGAGCTTAGTAAATTATTAATGAATCCTGTATTTTCTAAATCGGCGGCGCCTTTTTCTCCAAAAGTAAACGCATCCTTCACAATTCATCCCTTCTGCGTGACTGCGTCCCCACGCAGATCTGATCCGTAAGAGTAGGCGGAGACAGCGGGTCAACTTATTTGGTAACTTTTTTTATAAGTCAATATCTATAATTGATGGTTTAAATAAAAAAAATTAAAAATTATTTTAATACAGAGTCAAATTTATAATCTTGTAGATTTTTTTTAAAGGATAATATTGTAGTTAATATGTATTTTTTCTACTCCATTATTATAATAAAGTTACTCAAGATGAAATGCAAACAACTTACCAGCATGAGGCTCCTGATAATTTCATCCTTGTAATATTCGGGTTCGTTTTTTTGAAGTGTCAGTAGCACTTCAACGAATGATTTCTTCTTCCCGGCCGACTCGGTATCGCGATCGCCGTCGTTTTCCAATCTTTTCCGGCAGTCTTTGATCATGTCCTGCATGAAAGCATCTCGCCGGTGCTGCAACTCCACCAAACTGTTCTCCAAGTCCTTGAACACCCCCTTCAACGCCGGCACGAAGTCGCCGACGTTGGTTGCCCCGCCGAGGCGGAAAGTGTCCGTTACGATCCCCCTGAACCGCTTTGCCTCCTCGATATCCCCCACATTCTCGCCGTAATACCTTTTCCCGGCGATCATCCTCATCATCACGTTCAACGTGAGCTCGAAAAAAAAGCTCTTCATTTCAACGTGCGAATCCGCTTTACTAACCGAGTGCACCTTTCTCACCATGGACTTCACCTCATCCGCGCGGATCCCGTGGAGCATCTGGAGGCGATGGGCGGACAGGATTTCGAGGGCGGCGATTTTGCGGAGATTCCGCCAGTGATCGCCGTAGGAGGACCACGCTAGGGAGGTGTAGTTGTAGCCTATGTACTTTCCGGCCATGAGGTGCGGCCGGTTCGCGAAAACGATGTCGTTCCTCGACAGACACTCCTCGGCGGCGGAAGGGGTGGCGACCAGTAGAACTTTCCTGGACCCGAACTCGAGGAGGAGAACCGGGCCATGGCGGCTGGAGATTTTGTCCAAGGCGCGGTGGAGAGGTTTCTTAAAGAGGTATAGATGGCCGAGGAGGGGGAGAGTGAGGAACGGCGCCGGTGGATGGTTCTTGAATTTCCGGTGAAAGTGTTTGGAGATTAAGTACAAGGGAAAGAGGATGGCAAGGTACAAGAATGGGTTGATGAGGTAATCCATTGAATGTTGTATCGTGGATGGAAATAAATGCGGTCTGATCTAGATTTATATATTTTGGGACAGCCACACATGTGAGATGAGATCAAAGGATCGGACCATTGATAAATACAAAAACATGTATTTTTTTTTTATAAAAAAAATCAAAGAAATGATGTTAAGGAAGTAACTATCAAATTCATAATCTAATATTTAATTTACCTCACGCCATGATTTAATATAATTTTTTGTGGTACTACGAAAGCAATGAGAAAATATGTTAGCTACAGATTCCAGATTAGTCAAACAAGGCGGCTTTACCTTAGCTTCTCTTTCACTCTGCCTTGATGATGCTGTTCTTCCACTAGTTGCGCAGTTGTTACGCACCTTAACGAGTGTTGATTGAGTTATATTGGGTTCACAATTAAGTCAGGGTTACATTTGTGTAATACTATTTCATGGATCCTTATTCGTATGTCATATCATATTGTGTCGGGTCAAAATAAAAATGTAATATTAATTTGGAATAAATTAATGGAGAAGAACGGCCGACTTCTCCAATGGAGAAGAACGGCCAGATCTGGCCGTTCTTCTCCATTGGAGAAGTCGGCCGTCCGATCGTCTTCTCCAGTGAAGACGATCAAAGGGTCGGATTTTGTCGCCGGTGACCGTATTTTTTCCGCCGGTCGTCGAAATTTGTCACCGATCGCCGTAATTCGTTGCCGGAATTGAAATGACCTGTAATAACAGGTCATTTACCGGTTTTTGGGCTTCATTGACTCAATTTAACATGTTTAAGGGTTTAATTGCACTTTTATAAAGTTTATGGGGCTAATTGACCTTTGAGGTAAAGTTTAGGGGCTTATTTGACCCTTTTCTCTTTACATTTTGATGTAAAAGTATTACTTTTTCTAATCAAAAGTATTACTCTTTCCATTATAAATAATGTTGACAAGTGGTTGTTACTTATAAACGCAAATGTAATACTTTTAAATCAAAATATAAAAATATTACATTTTTTTCTTTAAATATTACATTTCCCTATATAAGCAATAAATATTTTATTTATGATTTAGCATTAATTTTTTCAGTATAAGTAGTATATTTCATGTTGACCCGACCTGTCTCTCAAACATAAACCCGTGAGACAATCTCACACAATTTTGTGTCTTTAAGTCAATGGTGGATAGCTTGTCAAAAAAAAAAAAAAAAAACAGAGTCAATGGTGGATATAATAGAATTATGTATAGTGGTTGAGGTATTGTATTTTAAATTCATTTCTAGCGATAAATTTAGGTAATTTAAAATTGAATTTTTCATAATGCTAGAGTTGGGGTCGGGATTGGGATAAGACTTCTTGTAAATTTACCTTCTTATGAGTATAAGGGCTCATAATTAATTAGATAAAATTGGGATACCGTCATACCATATGTCAATTAGAAATATATATATATATATATATATATATATATATATATATATATATATATATATATATATACTTCGTATTATATAATCTTTTCTGGTCATATCTATCTAGAAGGGAATGGGCACGAAATGAAAGGTCCGCATAGGGACAAACCTCTGAGGAATCTTCAAAGATAAAACCTTAGTACAAGTGGTCCTACCATTTAGGTCTTTGTCTAGCTTTTTATATACTTCATGTGCATAGTATGTTAAGTCACAAACACACTTTCCAACCATCTTTTCCATAAATACGATATTTTTTCAAGTGGAAGTTTTGTCCTAACATTTTATTTTCATGATGTGCTTCGTTAAATGTCATAAATTGACCGACTTCACATATTTTTTTATTAAACATAAAAATAATAAAAATGAATTATGCAAAGTCAAAAAGGGAAATAATGAAAAATAAATAAAATGAGTGTGTAAACGTGTAATATTGTTTTTTCATAATGAATATAAATATATATGAATCCATCATTATTGTATATTTTTCAATACAAATTGAGAATGGACAAAATATTAGGTGTCGGATTAATTAACAATAGTTATGCTGAGAAAACGTGTTTACCATGCGCATGGTGAACATAGGGGTATATCAATAATTTCTATACTGTAAATTCATAATTTTTATTTTTTTGAAAACGTAGATTCATAATTTTGTTTTTCATTTGTTGTTACCTATTCAAGTGGTCACACTATTCAAATTATTCTGTTGATCCAGGTCCACCTTGCAATGTGGATTCAAGTTCAAGTTTAAAATTACCTTTTAAAAATTCATAATTTGTGATAATCATGTATTGTATTCACAAATTTTTAAAATTTAAAAACACAATTAATATTTTATATGTTTACAATTTCAATATTAAAAATCCTATTAATATTTTATATGTTTACATTGCAAGGTGGACCTAATCCATGATATAACTAGAATGAGGGCCAAGAGACTTGTATGCTCACTGTCCAAGCCCAAGTTCCCAACACCGGAACGTTATGCTGTGAGCACGTACCCACTTTGCACGGTGGGCCCAGTTCCATATCCATAATTTTTATATTGTAGATTTATAGTAATTTTTATATTGTAGATTCATAATTTCTATAAAGTAGATTCATAAAATTTATACTTTAAATTCATAAATTTTAAACCGTAGATTCATAATTTAAATACAATACATTCATAATTTCTATACAGTAAATTCATAATTTCTATACTGCAAATTCATAATATCTGTACTGTAGATTCATAATTTCTAAATTGTATATTTATCAAATTATAAATATATAATTCTCTGATTTGTGAAAACAGAGTTAGCAATTGAAATCTAAAGTATAAATTTTATGAATTTACAGTATATAAATTATGAACTTATAATATATAAATTATGAATCTACAGTATATAAATTATGAATGTGAAACTGTGCTCATCTTGCAAGGTGAACACGTGTTGTGATGTGCACGTGCTCACAACATAATTTGCCCCCAACACCATCCCAAAGTAGAAGAAACATGACAAGTGATTACAGATGAGAAAGCAGGTTGGTCATAGTCGGTCTTGGGCGACATTTAGCCATCAAAGGATAAACTCTGGGCATGGTTAACCCAGGCCCTTCACTCATATTCACAGGCTCTTCACCATCTCTCTCCCATTCAAAGCACTGAATCAAAGTTCCTAACACCAATCCTGCAACGTGCATTGCCATGTTCTCCCCAGGACACCCTCTTCTCCCATACCCAAACGGCATCAGCTTAAACCCATCTCGCTGCCCCTCCATTTCCAGGAATCTCTCTGGCATGAACTTTTCTGGCTCCTCCCATAGCTTCGGATCGTTCTGTATAGCCCATAAGTTTGCTAGCACCATTGTTCCTTTTGGCACCCGAAAACCTTCAATAACACAGTCCTCTGAGGACTCATGGGGTACCAGGACTGGAGCTGCGGGGTACATTCTTAGCGTTTCGTTTATAATTCCATGCAGATATGGAAGTTTGGGCAGATCTGATTCTTCAATTAGGGTTGATGATCCGCCCGTTTGGATGTCGATTTCGATTTGAGCCCTTTTTAGTGCTTCTGGATTGTTTAGCAAGAGTGACAGCGCCCATTCCATTGTTGCCACTGTAGTGTCGGTCCCTGCGGATAACATTACCTGCAGATATAAAATCTTATCCATTATTTCTGCAAGGACAAGATATATAAGGTCTGATCTATAGCGTTGAAATCTTGATCAAATTTGCCTTACCTGCCCCATGCCTTTTATGATTTCGTCTGTGTAATATTCCGGTTCTGAATCTTGGAGTGACAGGAGAACATCAATCATCGTCTTGTTTCTCCGATCATCGGAACAACATCGTCTCCTTGTTTGCTTATGTTCTTCGATAAATTCTTGCATAAAGCTGTCTCTTTTCTCCTTCAACACCCTGAGCTTGTCTTCAATCCTGTTCAGCTTAAACCACTTAACAATCGGCACAAAGTCGCCGATATTCGTAGCTCCGCTCACCTGAAAAGTCTCGTTCACGATCGCTCTAAACCTCTTGGCTTGCTCCAACTCCTCTGCAGATCCTCCACAGTATCTCTTCCCAGCTATCATCACCATCAAGATGTTCAAAGTCAGCTCAAAGAACGCCGATTTCATATCCACCGCTTTATACCCAGAGTCTCTATGAAGCCGTTTGATCAGCGAACGGACCTCATCTCTGCGTATATCGGCAAACGCTTGAATCCGGTGAGCGGACAAGATCTCCGTGGAAGCAATCCGTCTTAGGTTGCGCCAGTGGTGGCCGTATGGGGCCCAAACAAGCGTCGTGTAATCGTAGCCGAGGTACTTCCCGGCAAGCAACCTGGGACGGTTGGCGAGCACAACATCGTTCTTGGTGAAACATTGCTCCACGGCCGAAGGAGAAGAAACTAGCAGAACAGGGCGTGACCCGAATTTCAGAAACAGCACCGGACCATGTTTGCGGGAGATGTTGGCTAAAGTACGATGAAGTGGTTTCTTGATTAGATATAGATGGCCTATTAGAGGTAAAGAGATGGAAGGGGTTGGTGGGAGGTTTTGGAATTTGGTTAGGAGATGAGTGGTGAGGAAGTAGAGAAAGGCAAAAAGTAAGAAACATAGTGAGATATCCATGAAGATAGAGTTTAATGGAAGTGTGTATTTCTATATATGTGGCGTTTAAGAAATTGTGGAATATTATGTAGCAATGGAAATAGTTTATAATTATGTGACAGAGTTTGATGCTATAGACAAGGAGCCGAAATGAGAATTTGATGCGAGCATAGAAAATAACTAAAGTCATTGCATGGTTTTGGATTGTGCTCTCGTAGGTTTCAACATATGCGGTATCAAAGTTAACAGTACTAAAAAAAAAATTAATTATTAAATTATAATAATTCAACTAAATATTGATATGTTAATTACACATTGCTTTTAAATTAAATAAAATTACTTATATGTTTTATTCTCTCATGTATTTTTTGTTACTATTAGTTTTTTTTTAATAAAAATTTAATTGATGAAATATTGATGGAGTGTTTGAAAAATAAATTATAAGCCAAAGTCAATATAAACACAAATATTTAAAATTCAAAACCCGAATATGAGTCAAAGTGGCGAAAAAGAGAGAGAAATTTAAAAATTTACTGTATTTTTTTATTTAAACATTATATATTATAAATTTCGTTTGTTAGTGCCAATAGTAGCTATTTATTATAAAAGACCCTTTAATAAAAACTAATTATATTTATGTTAAATTCATCTATAATAATAAAAAACACTTTATTGATTGACTCCATCACACTAAGTGTTCATCATGTGATTTATAGAATTTACATTGTATACACCATCATATAGTCGTTGTGATTTTTTTTGTTGTCACATAAAAAAATATTAATTATTCAATCATAATAATTCTACTAAATTATGATATGATAATGATAATTACACATTACTTACCGCATTTATGATTTATTATTTTATCCAATTTTTTTTTTCTTTATGTTTTCCATGAAATATTTATGGGGTGTTTGAAAATAGATTATAAACCAAAGTGAGTAATATAACACAAAAATTGATGCTTTCAAAAAAAAAACACACACAAATATTTAAAATCTAAAATCTAAATAACTGCCCAACAAATACATTATTGTCAGTTGAGAAGAATGTGGAAGAAGTCGGTCGAGCCTGCCCAACGTACACTTTTTTTTTTGGAAACTGCCCAACGTACACTTACTGACTCCTTTAATATAGATACCTCTTCCGATCACCAGTTCTTCATCGCGCCGCCGTGCACAACCTCATCTTCCGCCGCAACCACCGCCACTCTTCCTCCTCCGCCGCTGATGTTACTATGAAAGACTGCTGCGATCTCCCCGCCTTCGCCGACTCGTCAATGCCTACGTCTTATTTGTGCTTTAATATCACAGAATGAACCTTCATTGGTACCAATTACTATGGTAAGTATTCAACAAAAACTTGCTAGGGTTATTTTGAATCTTTGTATTTTCTTTGAATACTTGTTAGATTTGGCAGATAAAGTTTACTCACTATGTAGTTCTTTGCTCCCTTTCTGTATTCCTGGATTTCCCCACATTTTTGGGTTCTTTATCCTTTATTATTTAAAAAATGATTTTTAGTGTGTTTAAGTATTCGTTATAGTTTTTAAAATGTTTTTTTCGCTGTTGTTGTTAGTTTTTAAAATGATTTTCAGCATTTGGAAGTGTTATTTTTAATTAGTTTTCAGAGTTATTTTCTTTTAACATTTACATTCTTGATATGTTTTTTCCCTTTATTTTTGGTTCTTTTCCCTTTGTTATTTTTAAAATGATTTTCAGGGTTTTAAAGTATTCTTTTTAATAGTTGATGTTTTCCTTGTCAGTTCTGAACACACAAGATGATCTACAGGCTGTATGCTGGGCTATTCTTCTCGCTCTGTGTTGATATGACGGACAGGGAGTTGGCTTATTTGGAGTGCATCCACTTGTTTGTGTAGATACTGGATCACTTTTTTAGTAATGTCTGCGAGTTAGATTTGGTTTTTAACTTTCACAAGGTATGGTTTGTCAGTCTTTCTCATTGTGAATCTCTGTATTTTCTTTTATTTCTACTGTATTCACCTTGTGTATGCTGCATTGTAATTTATACTTCTGATTGATTGTTTTCCTATGAAGGTATATCTAATCTTAGATGAATTTGTTCTCGGTTGGGAGCTCCAAGAAACAAGTAAGAAGGTGAGAGTAATCGCGAGAAGAAGGATTTTTCTCGCGCCTTATCCTTGTTCTAGTGAGGTGTACTTTGCATAGATTTTGCAGAAAAAATGGATGTTTGATTTCTTCTGAAACTGCAGGCTATCATAGAGAGTTTGAATGAAAATTGGAGAAGTTGGAGTAAAGATTGATGATCCATGATGGCCAACCTTCATCCATATTCCAAAGTATGCACCTTTTTCATTTGCTCCCCTTTGATCTTTCTGAACATTTAGGATTATGCCTGCTTCTGTTTGAGATTTTGAATCTCTAGAATTTCTTTCAATTTTACTCGTAAAGAAGATGGATTGAGTGTTCATGTCATAGGATTGAAGAAGACATTGTGATTGATAGGTCATTTCCTCCCCCTATTCATGATTGAGTTTGCTTCTGTCCTTTAGGTAGAGAGTGCTTTCATGTGAGAATGTGAGATTGCTCAACTCATTTTGTTTCGGTCCAATGTCATATCTTGTCAAACATGAAACATTTGTCTCGTCAATGATTATCTTGAAACGCTTACTTAATTCACAACTTATTGAAGTTATTATGTATGATACGAAACATCATTTGTATTGAAGGAAGCAATTTTGTTTCTGCTTTCCTGTATGAAAAATTTCTTACTGATTTTCCGATGTTATAGCATGACCTGAGGTTCGTGAATCAGCAGGGTTGGCATTCAGCACTCTCTACATGGTACCACTTGTTAGTTCTTGGTGTGTTGACATACCAGTTTTTATATTTTAAATATTAGTTTGGTGATGAATTGATGATGGTTCATTGTGTAGACTGCTGGAATGCAAGCAATTGATGAGATTGTTCATACACTTCTGCATGCTCTGGAGGAAGATCAAACCTTTGATACTGCTCTGAATGGTTTAAAACAGATTTCTAGGTTGAAAACCATTTGCATATGTGTATTTTCTTACATTTCTGCCTGGGCACCTTTTCTGATTTTTAAAATGTATTGGATCCTTCTTTCAGTGTCAGGACCAGTGCTGTGCTGCCTGCCTCATATCCTTCCCAAGCTTGTCTACCTTCCCCTTTCGTAAGTATTGTGACTATTTCTTATAGATTTTTTTTTTTTTTTTTTTTTTTTTTTTTTTTTTTTTTTTTATAGAGTAGTATTTCTTTATTATTCACAATGATCTTTGGTTTTATATCCAACGCCTTCAATGCACATGCCTTGGGAGCTTTAGCAGAGGTTGCTGGACCTGGTCTTGATGCCTCCCTTGGTACCATGCTTCCTGCTTTACTCACTGCAATGGGCTATACTGATACGGTAGGAACCTAATTTTTATGCCATAGTGCCATTTACTTGGTTTCTAAGTTGATTTGTGTTTTTTTTTTTTTCATTGCATAATTTGCATTTGTCATGCTTTCACCTTGAAAATATCAGAGGTTCAAAGTCTCGCCAAGAAAGCAGCAGAAACTGTTGTCACTGTAATTGATGAGGAAGGTATCGAGTCTTTACTGTCGGAGCTTCTCAAAGGTGTTGGAGATATTCAGGCATGATTTATTGTTTTGCATAATGCTAATGTGACTTTCTTTTCTTTGTATTCCAGTTTTTAGCTAACACTATTTAAGTTTTATTCTTCCAGGCTTCAATCAGACAAAGTTCTGCGTACTTAATTGGATATTTGAATTATTTATTCAAAACCAGTGGTCTATATCTTGTTGATGGGGCTCCAAATGTGATATCCACCCTGATTATTTTACTAAGTGATTCAGATTCAGCTACCGTGACGGTATTATTTTGATGCATTGCATGACATTAATACAATGCACTTTAATTAACTGGTTTATCTTACCGTGCTCCTTTACAGATTGCTTGGGAAGCATTTGTCTAGTGTTATAAGTTCAGTTCCTAAAGGAGTTCTTCCTTCGTATATAAAGTTGGTTCGTGATGTATACAAACATGCAGGGAGGGACCAGTTCTAAATTTCTAATACCTGGTTTTTGCCTCCGGAAAGCTCTTCAACCTGTGCGTGCTTCCTATTTCCCTCCAGGTATTCCTGCTTTGTTGTCCGACTGATTGCACTCTGGAGTGGTATCTTCTTCTTTCTCTTATTCTCACCATTGGTTGAATTCTTCAAATCTACTAAAGCCTTTAATGTAATGGGACTTGATTTCAGGGTAGTATTTGCATTGGTTTATGTGAAGTGATGGCAAGTGTTGGGAAGAGCCAGTTGCTGAGTGATGGACAAGATTATCCCTACCATTCGGACAGCACTTTGTGATAGGTTTGAGATTGTTTACTTGTATTGAAGGAAGCAATTTTGTTTCTGCTTTCGTGTATGAAAAATTTCTTACTGATTTTCTGATGTTATAGCAAAACCTGAGGTTCGTGAATCAGCAGGGTTGGCATTCAGCTCTCTATACATGGTACCACTAGTTAGTTCTTGGTGTGTGAATATTAGTTTGATGATGAATTGATGATGGTTCCTTGTGTAGACTGCTGGAATGCAAGCAATTGATGAGATTGTTCCGACACTTCTGCACGCTCTTGATGACGATCAAATCTCTGATACTGCTCTGGATGGTTTGAAACAGATTTTAAGGTTGAAAACCGTTTGCAGTGTAGAAACAGATGTGGTCTTGACAACCTATGGTCTTCTAACTGCTGCATATAAGGCTGTAAGTAATCCAGCCTTTTTCAGATCAGTATCAATGTTTTTCCCATGAGCTTGAAAGTGTGTTTATTCTGTTCATTTGGTTCTATGTGCTTTAACCAGTTTTTAACTGTGATTTAGGATGCGGAGAGGAGCATATTCCATGAAGTTGATTGGCATCGAATTGAACTGGATGAAGCACTCACCATAAAATCCTGGAGAACTGTGAGTGCTAGGGCTGCATTCACATTGTCTGCACATTGCAGGTGGTGTCTCACTGGTATTCCACTTCAGGTATGTTTCCTCATCTAGGTTCCCATTTATCATATTTCCTAAAAAAATGAGGCTTTCATAAGACCGTCTCATTTGATAGAAATCTGATTTATGTTAATGATGTCCTCACTAATTGCTGCAGAATAATTTGCAAGATCTTTACAGCCTTCTGTGTTTCTTGCATCTTGGAAGAGGGGGGGAGTGAGTTTTATTTTGTTACTCCAATTTAATATCTTGATGTCCTTGTTTTTGTTGTTGTTGCATACTTGCATATATTAATTTCTCTGTGAAATGTGGTTTCTGCAGATCTTAGAATGTGCTATGGGCCTGGGGTAAACTGTAATGACAATTGCCTAAATACTTGCTAGGCCGGGCAAGGGTATCCCTGATAATCAAGAACTTGCTGAGGACATGCCTATTTCTCAGCATTCTAAGAACAGAAGGAGGTGGCACTCTCATTGTTTGTCCTATGGCATTACTTGGTCAATGGAAGGTGTGGCACTTCATTGTTCGTCCTATGGCATTACTTGGTCAATGGAAGGTGTGGCACTTTATCGTTTGTCCTATGGCATTACTTGGTCAATGGAAGGTGAGTTTATTAGTCTGTAGCCCCTTTCTTGCTTAATGTCAATATGAAAATGTGTCTGATATTGATTATAATTCTCATAACAGGATGAACTTGAAGCCCATTCAAAGCCAGATTGCATTTCTGTTTTTGTTCATTATGGTGGGGAAAGAAGTAATGACCCTAGAGTGATAGTAGAAACAGATGTGGTCTTCACAACCTATGGTCTTCTAACTGCTGCATATAAGGCTGTAAGTAATCCAGCCTTTCTCAGATCAGTATCAATGTTTTTCCCATGAGCTTGAAAGTGTATTTATTCTGTTCATTTGGTTCTATGTGCATTAACCAGTTTTTAACTGTGATTTAGGATGCGGAGAGTAGCATATTCCATGAAGTTGATTGGCATCGAATTGAACTGGATGAAGCACTCACCATAAAATCCTGGAGAACTGTGAGTGCTAGGGCTGCATTCACATTGTCTGCGCATTGCAGGTGGTGTAAGTAATCCAGCCTTTTTCAGATCAGTATCAATGTTTTTCCCATGAGCTTGAAAGTGTATTTATTCTGTTCATTTGGTTCTATGTGCATTAACCAGTTTTTAACTGTGATTTAGGATGCGGAGAGTAGCATATTCCATGAAGTTGATTGGCATCGAATTGTACTGGATGAAGCACTCACCATAAAATCCTAGAGAACTGTGAGTGCTAGGGCTGCATTCACATTGTCTGCACATTGCAGGTGGTGTCTCACTGGTATTCCACTTCAGGTATGTTTCCTCATCTAAGTTCCCATTTATCATATCATGTAAAAAAATGATAAATGCCATGGTGCAATTGGGCATGGTATGTTTTCTATATTACTAACTGTATATATACATGCTAATAAGTTTAACTGAATTACTTAAATGTTTGCTATCTTTTAAATGGAATAAGTTAATATAGAGACCTTATGAGAATGGTGATCAGAGAGCATTGAAACTGATCAAGGCAATTCTTAGGCCTAAACCCTAAACCCTAAACGCATGGTATGTTTTCTATATTACTAACTGTATATATACATGCTAATAAGTTTAACTGAGTTACTTAAATGTTTGCTATCTTTTAGGTGGAATAAGTTAATACAGAGACCTTATGAGAATGGTGATCAGAGAGCATTGAAACTGATCAAGGCAATTCGTAGGCCATTAATGCTTAGGAGAACAAACGAAACAAAGGACAAGGAAGGGAGGTAGTGTTCTTCACAACTTTGCAAACATTCTTGAATTCTTCAAATCTACCAAAGCCTTTAATGTAATGGAACTTGATTTCAGGGTGTTTGCATTGGTTTAAGTGAAGTGATGTCAAGTGCTGGGAAGAGCCAGTTGCTGAGTTTCATGCACAAGCTTATCCCTACCATTCGGACAGCACTTTGTGATCGGTTTGAGATTGTTTACTTGTATTTAAAGAAGCAATTTTGTTTCTGCTTTCCTGTATGAAAACTTTCTTACTGATTTTCTGATGTTATAGCATGACCTGAGGTTCGTGAATCGGCAGGGTTGGCATTCAGCACTCTCTACAAGGTACCACTAGTTAGTTCTTGGTGTGTTGACATACCTGTTTTTATATTTTAAATATTTGTTTGATGATGAATTGATGATGGTTCCTTGTGTAGACTGCTGGAATGCAAGAAATTGATGAGATTGTTCCGACACTTCTGCATGCTCTTGATGACAATCAAATCTCTGATACTGCTCTGGATGGATGGTTTGAAACAGATTTTAAGGTTGAAAATCGTTTGCAAATGTGTTTTTTCTTACATTTCTGCCTGGGCACCTTTTCTGATTTTTAAAATGTATTCGATGCTTTTTTCAGTGTCAGGACCAGTGCTGTGCTGCCTCATATCCTTCCCCAAGCTTGTGTCCACATTCCTCTTTCGTAAGTATTGTGTCTGTTTCTTATAGCGTTTTGTATACTAGTATTTCTTTATTATTTCCCAAGATCTTTGGTTTTATATCCAGTGCCTCAATGCACATGCTTTGGAAGCTTTAGCAGAGGTTGCTGGACCTGCTTTACTCACTGCAATGGGCTATACTGATATGGTAGGAACCTAATTTTTATGCCCATAATGCCATTTACTTGGTTTCCTCGTTCACATCATTTAAATTTGAGTCATTGCTTAATTTCATTTGTAAATTTGAGCCGTTGCATAATTTGCATTTGTAATGCTTTTACCTTGAAAATATAGGAGATTGAAAGTCTCGCCAAGAAAGCAGCAGAAACTGTTGTCACTGTAATTGATGAGGAAGGTATCGAGTTTTTGCTTTCGGAGGTTCTTAAAGGAGTTGGAGATATTCAGGCATGATTTATTGTTTTACATAATGATAATGTGACTTTCTTTCTTTGTATTGCATTCTTTAGCTAACACTATTTAAGTTTTTTTCTTCCAGGATTTAATCAGACAAAGTTCTGCATACTTGGAGTGATTCAGATTCAGCTACCGTGACGGTATTATTTTGATTCATTGCATGACATTAATACAATGCACTTCAATGTACTGGTTTATCTTACCGTGCTCCTTTACAGATTGCTTGGGAAGCATTGTTTAGTGCGATAAGTTCAGTTCCTAAAGGAGTTCTTCCTTTGTATATAAAGTTAGTTCGTGATGTATTCAAACATGCCGGGAGGATCAGTTCTATTACCTGGTTTTTGCCTCCGGAAAGCTCTTCAACCTGTGCTTCCTTTTTTCCTCCCGGTATTCCTGCTTATCTTTTGTTTGTGAACTTAAAGTTTACATTGAATGAATATCTTCATTTTCTAAAATTTTATAATTATTGCGCAGAAATCCATCCAAGAATTAGTATATTAATTCTATTAATCCTACATCAAGATTGTTTTTATTATTGCTGTTGTCGTTTTTGGAATCTGTTTCCCATTATTACAAGCATTGGTAACAAGTATTAGGATTGCAAGATTGTTGAGCTTTGATTGCATGGTTATGTGAATTTCCTTTATTATCTGTAGGGTCTTATAAGTGGATCTGCTGAATTAAGAGAGCAAGCAGCTTTTGGCGTTGGAGAGTTAATTGATGTGACAAGTGAGCAAGCATTAAAGGAGTTTGTCATTCCAATCACAGGGTATGAACTGTTACTATAGTTCTACACATTGCTTGTTTTGACTATGAGACTATTAAATGGATTGCAACCAACAAAATAAGCTATACGTAGACATTACGTTGCCTTTTTATGGTATGCAACAGTCCTCTACTTGTCTGAACCTTTGGCTCACCAGTGTAAGGCCATTTTAGATTGCTTGTTCATGAATTGTTATTTGGTGTAGGTCATTGATTCGTATAATAGGGGACTGATTCCCATTCCAAGTTAAAAGTGCCAATTCTCTCAACTTTGAGCATCATAATACGGAAGGGTGGGTTGGCCCTAAAGCCTTTTCTTCCCCAGCTTCAAACAACATTTGTTAAGTGTTTGCAGGATAATACAAGGTTAAGGTTAGATTCTAATACTTACGGTTCATCTTGAGACTCGTTTAGTATGTTTGGTTCAGTACTATGATGTATATTCCTATCTCATGCTATGCAAGTTGTTTGCAGGACTGTTCGATCTAGTGCTCTTGCCCTTGGTAAACTAAGTGCACTCACAACTAGGATTGATCCTTTGGTTGGTGATCTTTCATCTGCTTTGCAGGTGACATACTTCATCTTATGTTTCTTTTTTTGTTTCTTTTCTTTGGTTTTAACTTTCAAAATCTAATATTTTGGTGATATGCGCAACATGCTTCAGATGTTGGAATTGGTGAGGCTATTTTGACCGCTTTGAAAGGAGTGATCAAACATGCTGCCACTTGTTTGTGGAGATACTGGATCAGTTCTTTAGTAATGTTTGCGAGTTAGATTTGGTTTTTAACTTTCACAAGGTATGGTTTGACAGTCTTTCTCATTGTGAATCTCTGTATTTTCTTTTACTTCTAGTGTATTTAGCTTTTGTATGCTGCATTGTTTTCCTATGAAGGTATATCTAATCTTAGATGAATTCGTTCTCGCTGGGGAGCTCCAGGAAACAAGTAAGAAGGTGAGAGTAATCGCAAGAAGAAGGATTTTTCTCGCGCCTTATCCTTGTTCTGGTGAAATGTACTTTGCATAGATTTTTTAGAAAAAATGGATGTTTGATTTCTTCTGGAACTGCAGGCTATCATAGAGAGTTTGAATGAATTGGAGAAGTTGGAGTAAAGATTGATGATCCATGATGGCCAACCTTCATCCATATTCCAAAGTATGCACCTTTTTCATTTGCTCCCCTTTGATCTTTCTGAACATTTAGGATTATGCCCGCTTCTACTTGAGACTTTGAATCTCTAGAATTTATTTCGATTTTACTCGTAAAGAAGATGGATTGAGTGTTCATGTTCTAGGATTGAAGAAGACATTGTGATTGATAGGTCATTTCCTCGCCCTATTCATGATTGAGTTTGCTTCTGTCCTTTCGGTAGAGAGTGCTTTCATGTGAGATTGCTCAACTCTTTTTGTTTCGGTCCAATGTCATATCTTGTCAAACATGAAACATTTGTCTCGTCAATGATTATCTTAAAGCGCTTACTTAATTCACAACTTATTGAAGTTATTATGTATGATACGAAACATCATTTGTATTGAAGGAAGCAATTTTGTTTCTGCTTTCCTGTATGAAAAATTTCTTACTGATTTTCCGATGTTATAGCATGACCTGAGGTTCGTGAATCAGCAGGGTTGGCATTCAGCACTCTCTACATGGTACCACTTGTTAGTTCTTGGTGTGTTGTGACATACCAGTTTTTATATTTTAAATATTAGTTTGGTGATGAATTGATGATGGTTCATTGTGTAGACTGCTGGAATGAAAGCAATTGATTTGATGATAGTTTAAACATTAGTTTGATGATAAATGATAGTTCTTGGTGTGTTGTGACATACCAGTTTTTATATTTTAAATATTAGTTTGATGATGAATTGATGATGGTTCATTGTGTAGACTGCTGGAATGCAAGCAATTGATGAGATTGTTCCTACACTTCTGCATGCTCTGGAGGAAGATCAAACCTCTGATACTGCTCTGGATGGTTTAAAACAGATTTCTAGGTTGAAAACCATTTGCAAATGTGTATTTTCTTACATTTCTGCCTGGGCACCTTTTCTGATTTTTAAAATGTATTGGATGCTTCTTTCAGTGTCAGGACCAGTGCTGTGCTGCCTGCCTCATATCCTTCCCAAGCTTGTCTACCTTCCCCTTTCGTAAGTATTGTGACTATTTCTTATAGCTTTTTATTTTTTATTTTTTATTTTATTTCTTATAGCTTTTTATTTTTTATTTTTTTTTTATTTTTATTTTAATTTTTATTTATAGAGTAGTATTTCTTTATTATTCACAATGATCTTTGGTTTTATATCCAACGCCTTCAATGCACATGCCTTGGGAGCTTTAGCAGAGGTTGCTGGACCTGGTCTTGATGACCCCCTTGGTACCATGCTTCCTGCTTTACTCACTGCAATGGGCTATACTGATACGGTAGGAACCTAATTTTTATGCCATAGTGCCATTTACTTGGTTTCTAAGTTGATTTGTGTTTTTTTTTTTCATTGCATAATTTGCATTTGTCATGCTTTCACCTTGAAAATATCAGAGGTTCAAAGTCTCGCCAAGAAAGCTGCAGAAACTGTTGTCACTGTAATTGATGAGGAAGGTATCGAGTCTTTACTGTCGGAGCTTCTCAAAGGAGTTGGAGATATTCAGGCATGATTTATTGTTTTGGATAATGCTAATGTGACTTTCTTTTCTTTGTATTCCAATTTTTAGCTAACACTATTTAAGTTTTATTTTTCCAGGCTTCAATCAGACAAAGTTCTGCGTACTTAATTGGATATTTGAATTATTTATTCAAAACCAGTGGTCTATATCTTGTTGATGGGGCTCCAAATGTGATATCCACCCTGATTATTTTACTAAGTGATTCAGATTCAGCTACCGTGACGGTATTATTTTGATGCATTGCATGACATTAATACAATGCACTTTAATTAACTGGTTTATCTTACCGTGCTCCTTTACAGATTGCTTGGGAAGCATTTGTCTAGTGTTATAAGTTCAGTTCCTAAAGGAGTTCTTCCTTCGTATATAAAGTTGGTTCGTGATGTATACAAACATGCAGGGAGGGACCAGTTCTAAATTTCTAATACCTGGTTTTTGCCTCCGGAAAGCTCTTCAACCTGTGCGTGCTTCCTATTTCCCTCCAGGTATTCCTGCTTTGTTGTCCGACTGATTGCACTCTGGAGTGGTATCTTCTTCTTTCTCTTATTCTCACCATTGGTTGAATTCTTCAAATCTACTAAAGCCTTTAATGTAATGGAACTTGATTTCAGGGTAGTATTTGCAACTTGGTTTAAGTGAAGTGATGGCAAGTGCTGGGAAGAGCCAGTTGCTGAGTTTCATGGACAAGCTTATCCCTACCATTCGGACACCACTTTGTGATAGGTATGAGATTGTTTACTTGTATTGAAGGAAGCAATTTTGTTTCTGCTTTCCTGTATGAAAAATTTCTTACTGATTTTCTGATGTTATAGCATAACCTGAGGTTCGTGAATCAGCAGGGTTGGCATTCAGCTCTCTCTACAAGGTACCACTAGTTAGTTCATGGTGTGTGAATATTAGTTTGATGATGAATTGATGATGGTTCCTTGTGTAGACTGCTAGAATGCAAGCAATTGATGAGATTGTTCCGACACTTCTGCACGCTCTTGATGACGATCAAATCTCTGATACTGCTCTGGATGGTTTGAAATAGATTTTAAGGTTGAAAACCGTTTGCAGTGTATTTTCTTTGGGAGCTTTAGCAGAGGTTGCTGGACCTGGTTTACCCACTGCAATGGGCTATACTGATATGGTAGGAACCTAATTTTTATGCCCATAATGCCATTTACTTGGTTTCCTTGTTCACATCATTTAAATTTGAGTCATTGCTTAATTTCATTTGTAAATTTGAGCCGTTGCATAATTTGCATTTGTAATACTTTTACCTTGAAAATATAGGAGGTTCAAAGTCTCGCCAAGAAAGCAGCAGAAACTGTTGTTCACTGTAATTGATGAGGAAGGTATCGAGTTTTTGCTGTCGGAGGTTCTTAAAGGAGTTGGAGATATTCAGGCATGATTTATTGTTTTACATAATGATAATGTGATTTTCTTTCTTTGTATTGCATTCTTTAGCTAACACTATTTAAGTTTTATTCTTACAGGATTTAATCAGACAAAGTTCTGCATACTTAAAGTGATTCAGATTCAGCTACCGTGACGGTATTATTTTGATTCATTGCATGACATTAATACAATGCACTTCAATGTACTGGTTTATCTTACCGTGCTCCTTTACAGATTGCTTGGGAAGCATTGTTTCGTGCGATAAGTTCAGTTCCAAAGGAGTTCTTCCTTCGTATATAAAGTTGGTTCAGTTCAGTATCAATGTTTTTCCCATGAGCTTGAAAGTGTATTCTGTTCATTTGGTTATATGTGCATTAACCAGTTTTTAACTGTGATTTAGGATGCGGAGAGTAGCATATTCCATGAAGTTGATTGGCATCGAATTGAACTAGATGAAGCACTCACCATAAAATCCTGGAGAACTGTGAGTGCTAGGGCTGCATTCACATTGTCTGCACATTGCAGGTGGTGTCTCACTGGTATGGACTTCAGGTATGTTTCCGCATCTAAGTTCCCATTTATCATATTTCCTAAAAAAATGAAGCTTTCATAAGACCGTCTCATTTGATAGAAATCTGATTTATGTTAATGATGTCCTCACTAATTGCTGCAGAGTAATTTGCAAGATCTTTACAGCCTTCTGTGTTTCTTGCATGTTGAGCCATGGTGCAACTGGGCATGGTATGTTTTCTATATTACTAACTGTATATATACATGCTAATAAGTTTAACAGAATTACTTAATTGTTTGCTATCTTTTAGGTGGAATAAGTTAATACAGAGACCTTATGAGAATGGTGATCAGAGAGCATTGAAACTGATTAAGGCAATTCTTAGGCCTCTAATGCTTAGGAGAACAAAGGCAACAAAGAACAAAGGAAGGGAGGTAGTTCATTGTCTTCTTCTTTTTTTTTTTTTTTTTTTTTTTTTTTTTTCTAGTTTTCTTGAAAACTCAAAGTTTACTTGAGAGGCAAAGCCTTATCTGGCAGCTTATTGATGCCTTGTTCCTTGAATTAGTCCAATTCTTGTCCTGCCACCAACTGACATCCAAGTCATTGAGTGTGAACAGTCAGAAGCAGAGCGTGATGTCTATGATGCCCTCTACTAGAAATCTAAAGTAAGATTTGCAGCCCCAGCAAGTTTGTTTGGTTTCCCATTTTCTCATGCTCTTTAAATACCCTCCAAGAAAGCTCTGATTTGTGTGTGTGTTAGAAGTAATAGCATTTTCAAGGGTTCTTTCAGATTATTCAGACATGTGGTTCGAAATCTGATATGCATTTTTGGGACTGGGAACTGACAGTTTGTTGTTGATGAACCAGGTCCAGTTTGACGAATTTGTAGCACAAGGCAAAGTTCTTCACAACTTTGCAAACATTCTCCATCCTTTTCTTGTGATGAGGTGAAATGCCATTAGAGCTTTACTGTGCAGGTCCAGTTTGACGAATTTGTAGCACAAGGCAAAGTTTGTCACAACTTTGCAAACATTCTCCATCCTTTTCTTGTGATGAAGTGAAATGCCATTAGAGCTTTACTGTGCATGTCTCTATAATGAAATATACTCTGATCTCTAAAACAGTTTATTTCCCCTAAATCTGCAGCCGGGCCCGATGTAGACTAATATGCAAACAAGCTTGCCCAGAAGATTCTTGAAACAAACCCTGATTTGGACAAGGTTGCACAAAAGTATGTTAGGAACAAACCCTGATTTGGGCTAACCTGATATGGTAGGAACCTAATTTTTATGCCATAATACCATTTACTTGGTTTCCTCATTCACATCAAATATAGGAGGTTCAAAGTCTCGCCAAGAAAGCAGCAGAAATTGTTGTCACTGTAATTGATGAGAAAGGTATCGAGATTTTGCTGTCAGAGGTTCTTAATGGAGTTGGAGATATTCCGGCATGATTTATTGTTTTGCATAATGATAATGTTGACTTTCTTTCTTTGTATTGTATTCTTTGGCTAACACTATTTGTATTCATTGGATGACATTATTATAATGCACTTCAATTTAGTGGTTTATCTTACAGATTGCTTGGGAAGCATTGTCTTGTGTTATAAGTTCAGTTCCTAAAGGAGTTCTTCCTTTGTAACTAAAGTTGGTTCATGATGTATACAAACATGGTGGGAGGTCCAGTTCTAATACCTGGGTTTTGCCTCCGGAAAGCTCTTCAACGTGTGCTTCCTATTTCCCTCCAGGTATTCCTGCTTTGTTCTTCAACTGATTGCACCTTCTTCTTTCTCTTATTCACTATTTGTTGAATTCTTCAAATCTACCAAAGCCTTTAATGTAATGGAACTTGATTTCAGGGTGTTTGCATTGTTTAAGTGAAGTGATGGCAAGTGCTGGGAAGAGCCAGTTGCTTAGTTTCATGCACAAGCTTATCCCTACCATTCGGACAGCACTTTGTACTAGGTTTGAGATTGTTTACTTGTATTGAAAGAAGCAATTTTGTTTCTGCTTTCCTGTATGAATTTTTTTTTTTAATGTAATGGAACTTGATTTCAGGGTGTTTGCATTGGTTTAAGTGAAGTGATGGCAAGTGCTGGGAAGAGCCAGTTGCTGAGTTTCATGCACAAGCTTATCCCTAGCATTCGGACAGCACTTTGTGATCGGGTTGAGATTGTTTACTTGTATTGAAAGAAGCAATTTTGTTTCTGCTTTCCTGCATGAAAACTTTCTTACTGATTTTCTGATGTTATAGCATGACCTGAGGTTCGTGAATCGGCAGGGTTGGCATTCAGCACTCTCTACAAGGTACCACTAGTTAGTTCTTGGTGTGTTGACATACCTGTTTTTATATTTTAAATATTTGTTTGATGATGAATTGATGATGGTTCCTTGTGTAGACTGCTGGAATGCAAGAAATTGATGAGATTGTTCCGACACTTCTGCATGCTCTTGATGACGATCAAATCTCTGATACTGCTCTGGATGGTTTGAAACAGATTTTAAGGTTGAAAATCGTTTGCAAATGTGTTTTTTCTTACATTTCTGCCTGGGCACCTTTTCTGATTTTTATAATGTATTGGATGCTCTTTTCAGTGTCAGGACCAGTGCTGTGCTGCCTCATATCCTTCCCAAGCTTGTGTCCACATTCCTCTTTCGTAAGTATTGTATCTGTTTCTTATAGCGTTTTGTATACTAGTATTTCTTTATTATTTCCAAATATCTTTGGTTTTATATCCAGTGCCTCAATGCACATGCTTTGAGAGCTTTAGCAGAGGTTGCTGGACCTGCTTTACTCACTGCAATGGGCTATACTGATATTATGGTAGGAACCTAATTTTTATGCCCATAATGCCATTTACTTGGTTTCCTCGTTCACATCATTTAAATTTGAGTCATTGCTTAATTTCATTTGTAAATTTGAGCCGTTGCATAATTTGCATTTGTAATGCTTTTACCTTGAAAATATAGGAGATTGAAAGTCTCGCCAAGAAAGCAGCAGAAACTGTTGTCACTGTAATTGATGAGGAAGGTATCAAGTTTTTGCTGTCGGAGGTTCTTAAAGGAGTTGGAGATATTCAAGCATGATTTATTGTTTTACATAATGATAATGTGACTTTCTTTCTTTGTATTGCATTCTTTAGCTAACACTATTTAAGTTTTATTCTTCCAGGATTTAATCAGACAAAGTTCTGCATACTTAAAGTGATTCAGATTCAGCTACCGTGACGGTATTATTTTGATTCATTGCATGACATTAATACAATGCACTTCAATTGTACTGGTTTATCTTACCGTGCTCCTTTACAGATTGCTTGGGAAGCATTGTTTAGTGCGATAAGTTCAGTTCCGAAGGAGTTCTTCCTTCGTATATAAAGTTGGTTCGTGAAGGAGTGTGAACATTTTCTCTGGTGAAGCAACTGCAGAATTTCCTTCTGCATTGGAAACAGCAAGAGGGGGAGTGAGTTTTATTTTGTTACTCCAATTTAATATCTTGATGTCCTGGTTTTTGTTGTTGTTGCATATATTAATTTCTCTGCGAAATGTGGTTTCTGCAGATCTTAGAAGATGCTATGGGCCTGGGGTAAACTGTAATGACAATTGCTCTAATACTTGCTAGGCCGGGCAAGGGTATCCCTGATAATCAAGAACTTGCTGAGGACATGCCTATTACTTAGCATTCTAGGAACAGAAGGATTAAAGGTGGCACTTTCATTGTTTGTCCTATGGCATTACTTGGTCAATGGAAGGTGTGTCACTTCATTGTTCGTCCTATGGCATTACTTGGTCAATGGAAGGTGTAACACTTCATTGTTCGTCCTAATGGCATTACTTGGTCAATGGAAGGTGAGTTTATTAGTCTGTAGCCCCTTTCTTGCTTAATGTCAATATGAAAATGTGTCTGATATTGATTATAATTCTCATAACAGGATGAACTTGAAGCCCATTCAAAGCCAGATAGCATTTCTGTTTTTGTTCATTATGGTGGGGAAAGAAGTAATGACCCTAGAGTGATAGTAGAAACAGATGTGGTCTTGACAACCTATGGTAAGTAATCCAGCCTTTTTCAGATCAGTATCAATGTTTTTCCCATGAGCTTGAAAGTGTATTTATTCTGTTCATTTGGTTCTATGTGCATTAACCAGTTTTTAACTGTGATTTAGGATGCGGAGAGTAGCATATTCCATGAAGTTGATTGGCATCGAATTGTACTGGATGAAGCACTCACCATAAAATCCTGGAGAACTGTGAGTGCTAGGGCTGCATTCACATTGTCTGCACATTGCAGGTGGTGTCTCACTGGTATTCCACTTCAGGTATGTTTCCTCATCTAAATTCCCATTTATCATATTTCCTAAAAAAATGAGGCTTTCATAAGACCGTCTCATTTGATAGAAATCTGATTTATGTTAATGATGTCCTCACTAATTGCTGCAGAATAATTTGCAAGATCTTTACAGCCTTCTGTGTTTCTTGCATGTTGAGCAATGGTGCAATTGGGCATGGTATGTTTTCTATATTACTAACTGTATATATACATGGTAATAAGTTTAACTGAATTACTTCAATGTACTTGTTTATCTTACTGTGCTCCTTTACAGATTGCTTGGGAAGCATTGTCTAGTGTGATAAGTTCAGTTCCTAAAGAAGTTCTTCCTTTGTATATAAAGTTGGTTCGTGATGTATTCAAACATGCAGGGAGGATCAGTTCCAATACCTGGTTTTTGCCTCCGGACAGCTCTTCAACATGTGCTTCCTTTTTTCCTCCAGGTATTCCTGCTTATCTTTTGTTTATGAACTTAAAGTTTACATTGAAAGAATCTCTTCATTTTCTAATATTTTATAATTTTATTAATCCTACATCAAGATTGTTTTTATTATTGCTGTTGTCGTTTTTGGAATCTGTTTCCCATTATTACAAGCATTGGTAACATGTATTAGGATTGCAAGATTGTTGAGCTTTGATTGCATGGTTATGTGAATTTCCTTTATTATCTGTAGGGTCTTATAAGTGGAGCTGCTGAATTAAGAGAGCAAGCAGCTTTTGGCGTTGGAGAGTTAATTGATGTGACAAGTGAGCAAGCATTAAAGGAGTTTGTCATTCCAATCACAGGGTATGAACTGTTACTATAGTTCTACACATTGCTTGTTTTGACTATGAGACTATTAAATGGATTGCAACCAACAAAATAAGCTATACGTAGACATTACGTTGCCTATTTATGGTATGCAGTGAACTATGTCCTTTATTAGTGTATCAACTATAAAACAGTCCTCTACTTGTCTGAACCTTTGGCTCACCAGTGTAAGGCCAATTTAGATTGCTTGTTCGTGAATTGTTATTTGGTGTAGGTCATTGATTCGTATAATAGGGGACAGATTCCCATTCCAAGTTAAAAGTGCCAATTCTCTCAACTTTGAGCATCATAAGACGGAAGGGTGGGTTGGCCCTAAAGCCTTTTCTTCCCCAGCTTCAAACAACATTTGTTAAGTGTTTGTAGGATAATACAAGGTTAAGGTTAGATTCTAATACTTATGGTTTTTCGGTTCATCTTGAGACTCATTTAGTATGTTTGGTTCAGTACTATGATGTATATTCCTATCTCATGCTATGCAAGTTGTTTGCAGGACTGTTCGATCTAGTGCTCTTGCCCTTGGTAAACTAAGTGCACTCACAACTAGGATTGATCCTTTGGTTGGTGATCTTTCATCTGCTTTGCAGGTGACGTACTTCATCTTATGTTTCTTTTTTTTGTTTCTTTTCTTTGGTTTTAACTTTCAAAATCTAATATTGTGGTGATATGCGCAGCAGGCTTCAGATGTTGGAATTGGTGAGGCTATTTTGACCGCTTTGAAAGGAGTGATCAAACATGCTGCCACTTGTTTGTGGAGATACTGGATCACTTCTTTAGTAATGTTTGCGAGTTAGATTTGGTTTTTAACTTTCACAAGGTATGATTTGTCAGTCTTTCTCATTGTGAATCTCTGTATTTTCTTTTACTTCTAGTGTATTTACCTTTTTATGCTGCATTGTTTTCCTTTGAAAGGAGTGATCAAACATGCTGCCACTTGTTTGTGGAGATACTGGATCACTTCTTTAGTAATGTTTGCGAGTTAGATTTGGTTTTTAACTTTCACAAGGTATGGTTTGTCAGTCTTTCTCATTGTGAATCTCTGTATTTTCTTTTACTTCTAGTGTATTTACCTTTTTATGCTGCATTGTTTTCCTATGAAGGTATATCTAATCTTAGATGATTTCGTTCTCGCTGGGGAGCTCCAATAAACAAGTAAGAAGGTGAGAGTAATCGCAAGAAGAAGGATTTTTCTCGCACCTTATCCTTGTTCTGGTGAAATGTACTTTGCATAGATTTTTTAGAAAAAATGGATGTTTGATTTCTTCTGGAACTGCAGGCTATTATAGAGAGGTTGAATGAATTGGAGAAGTTGGAGTGAAGAGTGATGATCCATGATGGCCAACCTTCATCCATATTCCAAAGTATGCACCTTTTTCATTTGCTGCTCCCCTTTGATCTTTCTGAACATTTAGGATTATGCCTGCTTCTGTTTGAGACTTTGAATCTCTAGAATTTCTTTCGATTTTACTCGTAAAGAAGATGGATTGAGTGTTCATGTCATAGGATTGAAGAAGACATTGTGATTGCTGGGTCATTTCCTCCCCCTATTCATGATTCAGTTTGCTTCTGAACTTTAGATAGAGAGTGTTTTCATGTGAGAGTGCTTTATATCCAGTGCCTTCTCAATGCACATGCTTTGGGAGCTTTAGCAGAGGTTGCTGGACCTGGTCTTGATCTCCACCTTGGTACCATCCTTCATGCTTTACTCACTGCAATGGGCTATACTGATATTCAGGCATGATTTATTGTTTTACATAATGATTATGTGACTTTCTTTTCTTTTTATTCCCATTCTTTAGCTAACACTATTTAAGTTTTATTCTTCCAGGCATCAATCAGACAAAGTTCTGCATGCTTAATTGGATATTTATCCTAAACCAGTGATCTATATCTTGTTGATGAGGCTCCAAATGTGATATCCACCCTGATTCAGATTCAGGTACCGTGATGGTATTATTTTGATTCATTGCATGACATTTATACACCGCACTTCAATGTACTAGTTTATCTTGCCATGCTCTTTTACAGGTTGCTTAGGGAGCATCGTCTAGTGTGATAAGACGATCAGTTCCTAGAGAAGTTCTTCCTTTGTATATAAAGTTGGTTCTGATGCAGTATCAACTTCCAGGGATAAAGAACGTAGGAATAAAAAGGTAAAGGAGTGTGCATTTTACTCCAAATGGTGGTACAATCTGTTTATTGTTTATGCTTCCTGTTGATTTGCAAACATGCAGGGAGGACCAGTTCTAATACCTGGAAATCTCTGCACCCTATTCTTCCTATTTTCTTCCATGTGAACTTAAAGTTTTCATACTTTCTCTTCATTTGTATACCATTATTACAAGCATTGGCCACAAGTATTAAGAATGCAAGATTGTTGAGCTTTGAGCTTTGATTGCATGGTAATGTGAATTTCCTCAATTATCTGTAGGGGGTCTTATAAGCGGATCTTCTAAATTAAGAGAGCAAGCAGCTTTAGGCCTTGGAGAGTTAAGTGACGTGACAAGTGATCAAGCATTAAAGGAGTTTGTCATTCCAATCACAGGGTATGAGCTGTTACTATAGTTCTACACATTGCTAGTTTTGACTGAGACTATTAAAAGGATTGCAACCAACAAAATAAGTTATACGTAGACATTACGTTGCCTATATATGGTATGCAGTGAACTATGCCCTTTATTAGTGTACAGTCCTCTACTTGTCTGAACCTTTGGGTCACCAGTTTAACGCCATTCTAGATTGCTTGTTCATGAATTGTTATTTGGTGTAGGTCGTTCATTCGTATAATAGGGGGACAGATTCCCATGGCAAGTTAAAAGTTCAATTCTCTCAACTTTGAGCATCATAATATGGAAGGGTGGGTTGGCCCTAATGCCTTTTCTTCCCCAGCTTCAAACAACATTCTAGATTGCTTATTCATGAATTGTTATTTGGTGTAGGTCGTTCATTCGTATAATAGGGGACAGATTCCCATGGCAAGTTAAAAGTTCAATTCTCTCAACTTTGAGCATCATAATATGGAAGGGTGGGTTGGCCCTAATGCCTTTTCTTCCCCAGCTTCAAACAACATTTGTTAAGTGTTTGCAGGATATTACTAGGTTAGCTTTTAATACTTATGGTTTTCAGTTCTTTTTGAGACTCGTTTATTCTGTTCGGTTCGGTACTATGGTGTATGTATATTCCTAGCTCATGCTATGCACTTTGTTTGCAGGACTGTTCGATCAAGTGCTGCTCTTGCCCTTGGTAAACTAAGTGCACTCACAACTAGGATTGATCCTTTGGTTAGTGATCTTTTATCTGCTTTATAGGTGACATACTTCTTCTTATGCTTTTTTTTTTTCTTTGGTTTTAACTTTCAAAATCTAATATTGTGGTGATATGGGCAGCAGGCTTCAGATGTTGGAATTCGTGAGGATATGTTGGAATTCGTGAGGATATTTCTTCCCCAGCTTCAAACGACATTTGTTAAGTGTTTGCAGGATAATACAAGGTTAAGGTTAGATTCTAATACTTATGGTTTTTCGGTTCATCTTGAGACTCATTTTGTATGTTTGGTTCGGTACTACGATGTATATTCCTAGCTCATGCTATGCAAGTTGTTTGCAGGACTGTTCGATCAAGTGCTGCTCTTGCCCTTGGTAAACTAAGTGCACTCACAACTAGGATTGGTAAGATCTGTGTTAGGTTCTAATACCTGGTTTTTGCCCCCGGAAAGTTCTTCAACCTGTGCTTCCTATGTTCCTCCAGGTATTCCTGCTTATCTTTTGTTTGTGAACTTAAAATATAAATGGATAGAATCTCTTTATTTGTATACCAAATTTTCTAATATTCAATAATTATAGCATAGAAATTCTTCCAAGAATTATTATATTTGCACTTTAGATGGCATATTCGATTATTCTCTTAATGTTTGATATCATTTTCTACCTTCTAAATCTTCAGAAGCTGCAAAGGCAGAGGAAGCTAAAGATGAAGTTGAGATGGATGGATATGATGATGACGATGAGTCTGATAGTGAAATGGCAGATGATGATGAGGGATGGAGATGAAGCTATGATCCGAGGATAAGCTGAAAGGTTAGTATGCATTTTTATATCTTGCATTTCATTTGTGGACATTAATTTCTGAATCTAATACATGGTGAAAATCTATTTCAGATTTATGTTCGAGAACGAGCAGCCCCATTTATTTCAATGGCAGAAATGGTGAGGAAGTTTGAATCTAGTACAAGTCAGATGTCAATGCCACACATGAATTGTTCCATGTTACATGTAAATACAAATAACTTGCTTAAAAGTTTTATTATTTTTCTAGTATGTTTTCTTTAAAAATTTGAACTATTTTTCAGGATGGTATGACTGGATCAGTGCAGAGGAAGCCTAAGCTTACACTGACAAGTCCTAAGGATCCTGAACTTGAAGCAGCTCAACGTTACTATCCTATAAAGCTTATGAGCTCCGCTCAGCTCAGCTCATAATATACTACTTTAACTCTATTTTTCTTTTCCTTTTCGTTCTAATATTTATCAATTTCTTTCTTTTTATTCTATTCCCCTTTTCTCATCTTAATTTTCTTCTTCTCTTTCCCATCTTCCTTATACGTTTCTCTCTTTCTTTTCTTCGTTTTCCTTCATGTTCTCCATCCTTTCTCACTCACCCACTCTAATTCCCATCCCTTCTCGATTTTTCTTTGTTGACCTTCTCTCTCTCTCTCTCTCAAGAAGTGACGCCCGACGGGGAAGCAATTTGGTATGTTTTGCTCCATCTGCATAGTATTCTACTGTTGTTTTGGGCGTTATGATTCTTATTACATTTCGCTAACTTCTAAGGGATCTAGTGACAAGCAGTCAGTTGTGTAAGAAGCTGTCCTCACTTCAAGGTTTGCTCCAGTCTTTGAATATCAACTTTGTTTATACAATTTGGTTTGTCTCAATTAAGTTTCACTGACAAAGCCAACGTAGTTTCACTGATTGCTGAGATTATTTAACGGGAGCATGCACCCCTCAGCCACCAAAAATAACTTCTCAGTAAACAGCCCAACAAACTGATGAGCTAAAAAAAATAGCAAGTATGATCAAGAACCCCTCTGCATTAAAGTCAGCAACCCAATCACAAGTGAAATGCATTAATTCAGCTAGTGCAAGAAGGTAGATATCTTTCTTTTACTTCCCATATTTGTATTGTTTTGTTCTATATCTCTTTATTTTGGTGAGCTGGAATCTGTGTAATATTTTCTTATCAATTATTGATTCACAGGATCGCAAATATGAAAATTACATCTGAAACTCCAAATTTTGCTCAAGAAAATCAAGCTATGAAGAGGGAAAAACTTGAAGAGAAGAAAGCTATCATTTTTCACATATTTTTAATCTGATCTCCTGAATTTGTTCTCACTTTTGCTTAGGACCTTAGCATCAAACCCCAAACTTTGCTCCATACAACAAGACCTGGGAAATCTACCAGCACCTTGAACACTTCAACTGCTAAAACACGTACAGAAGACAGAAAGGTTAGTATGCATTTTTATGCCTTGCATTTCATTTATGGACATTAATTTTCTGAATCTAATACATGGTGAAAATCTCTATTTCAGATTTATGTTCGTGAACCAGCACCCCCATTTATTTCAATTTGCAAAAATGATGAAGAAGTTCGAATCTAGTACAAGGGAAATGTCAATGCCATGCATGAATTGTTCCATGTCACTTCTAAGTTGCTTAAAAGTTTTATTATTTTTCTAGTATGTTTTCTTTCTTATGTTTAATTTTGAGTGTGCCTTTTCTTTCTTATGTTTAATTTTGATCTTTTTTTTTTTTTTTCCCTCACTCTGTGTGCTTGTATATAATATGTTATGGAGTTTTTCTCTACTAAAGTCTCTTGTTTTCTTTGTAGCAACTATGTCGACCAACGGCTACTGAAAATATCAGTTGCAACCTTGGTGGTGGCTTTGAGAGTGCCTTTTCTTTCTTGTGTTTAATTTTGATCTTTTTTTTTTTTTTTTTTTTTTGGTTTTTTCTCTCACTCTGTGTGCTTGTATATAATATGTTATTTAGTTTTTCTCTACTAATGTCTTCTGTTTTCTTTGTAGCGGCTATGTCGACCAAAGACTACTGAAAATATCAGTTGCAACCTTGGTGGTGGCTTTGTTGTGCTGGAATCTGTGTAAAATGTTTCTTATCAATTATTGATTCACAGGAACACATGTGAAAATTACATCTGAAACTCCAAATTTTGCTCAATAAAATCAAGCTATAAGGAGGCAAAAACTTGAAGAGGGGAAAGCTAGACAGGTGAGTCATTTATTGACTAAGAATTTTTATATCATTTTTCACATATTTTTAATATGATCTCCTCAATTTGTTCTCAGTTTTGCTTATATCCTTAGCATCAAACCCCAAACTTTGCTCCATAAAACAAGACCTGGGAAATTTACCGGCAACTTGTTCACTTCAACATGGTTAGTAAGCATTTTTATGTCTTGCATTTCATTTATGAAGAAGTTCGAATCTAGTACAAGGGAGACGTGGCATTTTGAATTGTTCCATGTCACATATAAATACAAATAACTTGCTTAAAAGTTCTATTATTTTTCTAGTACATTTTCTTTAAAAATTTAACTATTTTTCAGGATGGTATGGCGAGAATCTGTGCAGAAGAATCCTAAGCTTACACTGACAAGGCCCAAGGAACCTGAACTTGAAACAGCTCAACGTTACCGTCCAGTAAAACTTAAGAGCTCAGCTGAGTTGGAAGAAGAAATGATGGCAAAATTCCCCAAGTTTAAGGCTCGCCCTTTAAATAAGAAGGTACCTCCATTTTGAATGACCACATTATTTTCCTGAGTGTATACATCTTGCCTTAGTTTAAGAGACTGCTTTAGTATTCATGTGCTTTTTGTTTATTCCATGTGTTAATTTCATTTTTATTATTTTTTCTGCTTTTTATCCCTTCTCATTTGTGCGTGTTTATCTTTGTCATTTTTTCCTTTTTCTTCATTGTCTGTTTTATTCGTTGCCATCTACTTCAAAATTTTCATTCTTCCTCTTTTCGCCTTTCTCCTCATTTCATAATCTACTACTCTAACTCTCTTTTTCTAATTCTTTTCGTTCTAATATTTATCATGATCTTTCTTTTTATTCTAATCCCCCTTTTTTTGTTCTTAATTTTCTTCTTCTCTTTCCCATCTTCCTTAATCGTTTCTCTCTTTCTTTCCTCTTTCCTTCATGTTCTCCATCCTTTCTTACACACCAACTCTAATTTCCATCCATTCTCGTTTTTTCTTTGTTGACCTTCTCTCTCTCTCTATCTCTATCTCCGTCTATATATATATATATATATATATATATATATATATATATATATATATATATATATATATATATATATATATATATATATATATATAATTTTTATCTTATTCTGCAATCTCTTTCTCACTCTTTTCGTTTTTCTTTTTTTTTTTTTGTTTATCTTCCCCTTCTTTCTCCTTTTATGTCTTCCTCCATTCGTTTTCTCTCTCTTATCCTCATCCACCTTCTTTCTCTTTATTCTTTTCATTAGAGTGTAATGTTTATCTTTCTCTCCATTTGACACTCATTCTTCATTTTCCATATTCCTTTAACTTCTCTTTTTCTTTGTCTTTTCTTCCAATTTTTCTTATTGCTCTTTCTCCTCGTTTTTTAATTTTTTAATCTACTGCTGCTCTCTTTTTCTTATCCTCCTTGTCCTTGTATTAATTCGCTTTCTTCTTAATTCTTTATCTTCTTCACTTTCTTCTTCTTCTTCTCTTTCTTATCTTCCTCTCATTTTCTTGTTTTTCCCTTTTCTTTCATGTTCTCCATCCTTCCCTAAAATAATTCTCATACTTCTTTTCCCTTCCTGTCATGTTCTCATAACTTCTATAATTCTCTCTTTCTATTATTATCCTCGTCACCTTTCTTTATCTTCTTTTAGTTCATTCCTTATTGTTATCTATACATCCTTTTCATCCCTATTTTTTCCTTCCACCTATCTTCCCATTTCATTTTTCTTTATCTACTCTTTCTTCTTCTCATCTTTCTCTTTTTTATTACGCATTATTCTCTGTCCTTTTTTCTTATTTTCCTTATACTTTTTCTTCTTATGTTTTCACCTTCTATTTTTCCACCTTTTCCCCTTTTATCTTTAATTTTTATCCTCTCCTTTCCTTCTAGTCCAAAGTCTCTTCGTCTTTTTATTAATCTTCCCTTTCCTTCAACTTCCATCTCTTATTTGTCTTGTTATTTTTCAGCTTTCTACCTCTTGTCCTCATCTAAATTCCCTTCTAGTTGTGCATGTTTATCTTTTCACATGGTGTGAGGTATTATTTTTCTCCATCTTGTCCTCGTATTCATTCTCTTTCTTCTTTTGTCTTCATGTTCTCCATCCTTTCTTAAAATATTGCTCATACTTTTTTTCCATTCATTACTCTTATAATTCTTTTGATTATTATTCTCATCCTCCTTCTTTATCTTCTTTTAGTTCATTCCTTATTAATCTTCCCAACTTTTTCATTATTTCACACCTATTTTTCTTCCTTCCACATATCTTCCATTTCATTCTTCTTTGTCTACTCCTATTTTTTCTTCTCCTCTTTCTCTTTTTCGTTCATGTTATTCAATATCCTGACTCTTTCTTATTTTCTTCCTATTTTTTCTTCTTTTCCTTTTCCCCTTCTATTATTCCATTTATCTTTGATTTTTTTCACCACTTTTCCTTCTTGTTCTCCAATTTTTCTTAACTCTCATCATCCTCGTCTTTTTTATTTCTCTTTCCCTTCCTTCTCCTTCCATCTCTTATTCCGTCCTGTTATTTTTCTGCTTTTTATCTCTTATCTAACTTCCCTTCTCATTTGTGCATGTTTATCTCTCTTCATTTTGACCCTCGTTTCTCTTCCTCTCGTTTTCTTTTTCCTTTTTCTTCTTCGTCTCATTTTTCATTATCTTTTACTTCAAAATTTTCACTATTCTTCTTTTCGCCTCTTAATCTATTACTCTACTCTCGTTTTCTTCTCCTTTTTTGTTTTAATATTCATCATGTTCTTTCTTTTTATTATAACCTTCCTTTTTCTCTTCTTAATTTTCTTCTCTCTTTCCCATCTTCGTTATCCATTCCTTCTCTTTCCTTCATGTTTTCCATTCTTTCTTACTCACTCTCATTCCCATCCCTACTCGTTTTTTTCTTTGTTGACCCTCTCTCTCTCTCTCTCTCTCTCTATGTGTGTGTGTATATTATCATCTCTTTTTCTTCTTATTCTCCAAACTCCTTTTCTCACTCTCTCGTCTTTTATCTTTCTTCGTTTATCCTCTTCCTTTCACTTTCTATCTCTTATCCTCATCCACCTTCTTATTTTTCTTCTCTTTATTCTTTTCATTGAAGTGTAATTTTTATCTTTTTCTCCGTTTTGACCCTCATTCTTCATTTTCCATATTCCTTCATCTTCTGTTTTCTGTTTCTCTACTGCTACTCTTTTTTTCTTCTCTTGTTCTCATATTCATTCTCTTTCTTCTTATTATACCCACTGTTTCTCTTCTTCCTTTTCTTCTTCTTCTTGTTCTTGTTTTTCTCTTTCTCATCTCAGTCACATTTTCTTCCCTTCATTACTCTCATAATTCTTATTTTTTCTTCGTTTCTTTTTCCCCATTTATATATCTTTTATTTTTATCTTGTCCTTTACTTCTCATCCTCCAAGTTCTCTTTATTCTTTTCATTAAAGTGTTATTTTTATGTTCTCCATCCTTCCTTACCAACTCTAATTCCCATCCCTTCTCGTTTTTTCTTTGTTGACCTCTCTCTCTCTCTCTCTCTCTCTCTCTCTCTCTATATATATATATATATATATATATATATATATATATATATATAAATTTTATCTTATTCTCCAAACTCCTTTTTTCACTCTTTTCGTCTTTTTGTTTATCTTACCCGTCTTTCTCCTTTTTATCTTCCTCCATTCGTTTTCTCTCTCTTATCCTCATCCACCTTCTTTCTCTTTATTCTTTTCATTAAAGTGTAATGTTTATCTTCTCCATTTTGACACTTATTGCTCATTTTCCATATTCCTTCAACTTCTCTTTTTCTTCCTATTTTTCTTATTGCTCTTTCTCCTCGTTTTTTAATCTACTGCTGCTCTCTTTTTTTCTCCTCCTTGTCCTTGTCCTTGTATGATTCTCTTTCTTCTTTTTCTTCTATTTTCCCTTCTTTTTCTTTCATGTTCTCCATTCTTTCCTAAAATAATTCTCGTACTTCTTTTCCCTTCCTCTCATGTTCTCATAACTTTTATAATTCTCTCTTTCTATTATTATCCTCGTCACCTTTCTCTATCTTCTTTTAGTTCATTCCTTATTGTTATTTATTCATCCTTTTCAACCCTGTTTTTTTCCTTCCACCTGTTTTTTATTCTCTGTCTTTCTTATTTTTTCTTCTTTTTGTTTTCCCCTTCTATTTTTCCACCTTTTCCCCTTTTATAATTAATTTTTATCATCTCCTTCCCTTCTCATTCTCCAAAGTCTCTTCGTCTTTTTATTATTCTTCCCTTTCCTTCTCCTTCCATCTCTTATTTGTCTTGTTATTTTTTAGTTTTCTACCTCTTGTCCTCATCTAAATTCCCTTGTGCATGTTTATCTTTCTCATGGTGTGAGGTGTTATTTCTCTCCATCTTGTCCTCGTATTCATTCTCTTTCTTCTTTTTTCTTCATGTTCTCCATCCTTTCTTAGAATAATCTCATACTTTTTTTTCCCTTAATTATGCTTATAGTTCTTCTTATTATTATTCTCATCCTCCTTCTTTATCTTCTTTTAGTTCATTCCTTATTAATCTTCCCATCTTTTTCATCATTTCACCCCTAATTTCCTTTCTTCCACCTATCTTCCATTTCATTCTTCTTTGTCTACTACTATTTTTTCTTCCACTCTCTCTTTTTCGTTCACGTTAGTCTATATCCTGACTCTTTCTTATTTTCTTCCTATTTTTTCTTCTTTTCCTTTTCCCTTTCTATTATTCTATATATCTTTTATTTTTTTCGCCACTTTTCCTTCTCATTCTCCAAATTTTCTTAACTCTCATCATCTTTGTCTTTTTTTATTTCTCTTCCCCTTCCCTTCCTTCTCCTTCCATCTCTTATTCCGTCCTGTTTTTTTTTTCTGCCTTTTATCTCTCATATAACTTCCCTTCTCATTTGTGCATGTTTATCTCTCTTTTTATTTTGACCATCGTTTCTCTTTCTCTCGCTTTTGTTTTTTTTTCTTCTTTTTCTTCATTGTCTCATTTTTCATTGTCTTTTACTTCTAAATTTTAATTATTCTTCTTTTCACCTCTCTACCCATTTCTTAATCTATTGCTCTACTCTCTTTTTCTTATCCTTTTCGTTCTAATATTCATCATGTTCTTTCTTTTTATTCTAACCTTCCTTTTTCTCTTCTTAATTTTCTTCTTCTCTTTTCCATCTTCCTTATCTGTTTGTCTATTTCATTCCTTCTTTTTCCTTCATGTTTTCCATATTATCATCTCTTTTCCTTCTTATTCTCCAAACTCCTTTTCTCACTCTCTCGTCTTTTTTCTTTCTACTTTTATCCTCTTCCTTTCGCTTTCTATCTCTTATCCTCATCCACCTTATTTTTCTTCTCTTTATTCTTTTCATTAAAGTGTTATTTTTATCTTTTTCTCCGTTTTGACCATTCTTCATTTTCCTTATTCCTTCATCTTCTCTTTTCTGTTTGTCTACCGCTGCTCTTTTTTTCTTCTCTTGTTCTCATGTTCATTCTCTTTCTTCTTATTATACCCACTCTTGCTCGTCTTCCTCTTCTTCTTGTTCTTCTTCTTCTCTTTCTCATTTCACTCACATTTTCTTCCTTTTCTCCCTTCATTACTCTCATAATTCTTATTTTTCTTCGTTTCTTTTTCCCCATTTATGTATCTTTAATTTTTATCTTGTCCTCATCCTCCAAGTTCTATTTGTCTTTTTGTTAATCTCCTCCTTCCTTCTCTTTCAATCTCTTCTCCGTGTTGTTATTTTTAAGCTTTCTACGCCTTTTCCTCATCTACACTCCCTTCTCATTTGTGCGTGTTTATCTTTCTCATGGTGTGAGGTATTATTCTTCCCCTTCTTGTCCTCATATTTATTCTCTTTCTTCATTTCCTGATTTATTATAACTTGGCGGTATGAATTTCTTGCTTGCAGTGGAGTATTCTCCATCGATAATTGGAATGGATGTTTCCCATGGCATTTTCAGGTAATTCATTCTTTTCACACAAATGGTATAACCAGCCTGTCACAGTATGTGAAGCCACTATTTACTAACTGATTTATATTAAATGCTTTTTAATGGAGAGATGGTTAATTTATTAATTTCAGCTTTGTGTTTACCTTTGTGAATTTGTCTCTGTTCTTTTATGCTATGAAATAAATCTTGAGTATATATAGGATTTCACAATTGGTCTGATTCTTAATTCTGTAATATGGGTACCAGTCCACTGGAATTTGCATAATAAGCCTTAACTTTTGAGCCATGTATAAGGATTGTTGATAGGAAGAAGTGACTCCCGACGGGGAAGCCAATTTGGTATGTTTTGATCCATCTGCATAGTATTCTACTGTTGTTTTGGGGGTTATGATTCTTATTACTTTTCTCTAACTTCTCAGGGATCTTGTGACAAGCAGTCAACTGTTCATGGTTCTGTTTCTGCTGTAATATCTGTTCTCAAGGATCCTGTAAGAAGCTGTCCTCAGTTCATGGTTCTGTTTCTGCTGTAATATCTGTTCTCAAGGATCCTGTAAGAAGCTGTCCTCAGTTCATGGTTTGTTCCACTCTGTGAATATCAACTTCGTTTATAAAAATTGGTTTGCTTCAATTAAGTTTCACTGACTTCTGAGATTATTTAGTGGGAGCATGCACCCCTCAGCCATAAAAAATTAACTTCTCAGAAAACAGCCCAACAAACTGATGCTAAGTAGCACCAGACAGCTAAAAAAAAGTAGTAAGTATGATCAGGAACCCCTCTGCATTGAAGTCAGCAACCCAATCACAAGTGAAAAGCATTAATCCAGCTAGTGCAAGAAGGTAGATATCTTTCTTTTACTTCCCATATTTGTCTTGTTTTGTTCTATATCTCTTTATTTTGGTGAGCTGGAATCTGTGTAATATGTTTCTTTTCAATTATTGATTCACAAGAATGCAAATATTAAAATTACATGTGAAACTCCTAATATTGCTCAAGAAAATCAAGCTATAAAGAGGCAAAAACTTGAAGAGGGGAAAGCTAGACAGGTGGGTCATTTATTCTCAATTTTTTTTTTACCTTATTAAGTGTATCATTTTTCACATTTTTATTGAAGAAGACGTTGTGGTTGCTCTGGGTTATTTCCTCCCCCTATTCATGATTGAGTTAATTTTCTTCTGTCCTTTAGGTGTAGAGAGTGCTTTCATGTGAGAATGCTCAACTTGATCTTTTTGTTTCGGTCCAATCTCATATCTTGTCAAACATGAAACATTTGTCTCGTCAATGATTATCTTAGAACGCTTACTTAATTCACAACATATTGAAGTTATTATGTATGATACGAAGCATCATTTGTATTGAAGGAAGCAATTTGGTTTCTGTTTTCCCATATGAAAAATTTCATACTGATTTTCCGATGTTATAGCATGACCTGAGGTTCGTGAATCAGCAGGGTTGGCATTCAGCACTCTCTACATGGTACCACTAGTTAGTTCTTGGTGTGTTAACATACCAGTTTTCATATTTTAAATATTAGTTTGATGATGAATTGATTATAGTTCCTTGTGTAGACTGCTGGAATGCAAGCAATTGATGAGATTGTTCCGACACTTCTGCATGCAAAATGGATGTTTGATGTGGATGGTTTAAAACAGATTTTAAGGTTGAAAACCATTTGCAAATGTGTATTTTCTTACATATCTGCCTGGGCAGCTTTTCTGATTTTTAAAATGTATTGGATGCTTCTTTCAGTATCAGGACCAGTGCTGTGCTGCCTCATATCCTTCCCAAGCTTGTCCACCTTAAAATGTATTGGACCTTTTCTGATTTTTAAAATGTATTGGATGCTTCTTTCAGTGTCAGGACCAGTGCTGTGATGCCTCATATCCTTCCCAAGCTTGTCCACCTTCCCCTTTCGTAAGTATTGTGTCTGTTTCTTATAGCTTTTTGTATAGAGTAGTATTTCTTTATTATTCACAATGATCTTTGACTTTATATCCAGTGCCTTCAATGCTCATGCTTTGGGAGCTTTAGCAGAGGTTGCTGGACCTTGTCTTGATGCCCCCCTTGGGTACCATCCTTCCTGCTTTACTCACTGCAATGGGTTATACTGATATGGTAGTAACCTAATTTTTATGCCATAATGCCATTTGCATGGTTTCGTCTTTCACATCATTTAAATTTGAGTCATTGCTTATGTTGATTTGTGTATTTTTTTTCATTGCATAATTTGCATGTGTCACGCTTTCACCTTGACAAGGAAGGTATCAAGTCTTTGCTGTTGGGGCTTCTCAAAGGTGTTGGAGATATTTAGGCATGATTTATTGTTTTACATAATGATAATGTGACTTTCTTTTCTTTGAATTGCATTTTTTACCTAACACTATTTAAGTTTTATTCTTCCGGGCTTCAGTCAGACAAAGTTCTGCATACTTTATTGGATATTTATTAAAAACCAGTTATATATATCTTGTTGATGAGGCTCCAAATGTGATATCCACCCTGATTATTTTACTAAGTGATTCAGATTCAGCTACCTTGACGGTATTATTTTGATTCATTGCATGACATTTATACAATGCACTTCAATATACTAGTTTATCTTACCATGCTCTTTTACAGGTTGCTTGGGAAGCATTGTCTAGTGTGATAAGTTCAGTTCCTAAAGAAATTCTTCCTTCATATATAAAGTTTGTTCGTGATGTATAGAAACATGCAGGGAGGACCAGTTCTAATACCTGGTGTTTGCCCCTGGAAAGCTCTTCAACCTGTGCTTCCTATGTTCCTCCAGGTATTCCTGCTTATCTTTTGTTCGTGAACTTAAAATATAAATTGAATGAATCTCTTCATTTGTATACCCAATTTTCTAATATTCAATAATTATAGCACAGAAATTATTCCAAGAATTATTATATTTGCACTTTAGATGGTACATTCGATTATTCTCTTAATGTTTGATATCGTTTTCTACCTTCTAAATCTTCAGAAGCAGCAAAGGCGGAGGAAGCTGAAGATGAGGTTGAGATGGATGCATTTCAAAGTGATGATGATGACGATGAGTCTGATAGAGAAATGGCAGATGATGATGAGGATGGAGATGAAGCTATGATCCGAGGATAAACAGAAAGGTTAGTATGCATTTTTTATGTCTTGCATTTCATTTGTGGACATTAATTTCTGAATCTCTAATACATGGTAATCTCTATTTCAGATTTATGATCGAGAACGAGCAGCCCCATTTATTTCAATGGCAGAAATGATGAGGAAGTTTGAATCCAAGTCAGATGTCAATGCTACACATGAATTGTTCCATGTCACATGTAAATACAAATAACTTGCTTAAAAGTTTTATTGTTTTTCTAGTACGTTTTCTTTAAAAAATTGAACTATTTTTCAGGTTGGTATGGCTGGATCAGTGCAGAGGAAGCCTAAGCTTACACTGACAAGGCCTAAGGATCCTGAACATGAAACAGCTCAACGTTACTGTCCAATAAAAGTTTATGAGCTCAGCTCAGCTCATAATATACTACTCTAATTCTATTTTTCTTTTCCTTTTTGTTTTAATATTTATCCTGTTCTTTCTTTTTATTCTATCCCCCCCCTTTTTGTTCTTAATTTTCTTCTTCTCTTTCCCATCTTCCTTAATCGTTTCTCTCTTACTTTCCTTCTTTTTCCTTCATGTTCTCCATCCTTTCTTACTCATCCACTCTAATTCCCATCCCTTCTCGATTTTTCTTTGTTGACCTTCTCTCTCTCTCTCTCAAGAAGTGTCTCCCGACGGGGAAGTAATTTGGTATGTTTTGCTCCATCTGCATAGTGTTCTACTGTTGTTTTGGGCGTTTTGATTCTTATTACATTTCGCTAACTCCTCAGGGATCTAGTGACAAGCCGTCAGCTGTTCGTTGTTCTGTTTCTGGTGTAATATCAATTCTCAAGGATCCTGTAAGAAGCTGTCCTCACTTCAAGGTTTGCTGCACTCTGTGAATATTAACTTTGTTTATACAATTTGGTTTGTCTCAATTAAGTTTCACCGACAAAGCCAACGTAGTTTCACTGATTGCTAAGATTATTTAACGGGAGCATGCACCCCTCAGCCACCAAAAATAACTTCTCAGTAAACAGCCCAACAAACTGATGCTAAGAAGCACCAGACAGCTAAAAAAAATAGCAAGTATGATCAGGAACCCCTCTGCATTAAAGTCAGCAACCCAATCACAAGTGAAATGCATTAATTCAGCTAGTGCAAGAAGGTAGATATCTTTCTTTTACTTCCCATATTTGTATTGTTTTGTTCTATATCTCTTTATTTTGGTGAGCTGGAATCTGTGTAATATTTTCTTATCAATTATTGATTCACAGGAACGCAAATATTAAAATTACATCTGAAACTCCAAATTTTGCTCAAGAAAATCAAGCTATGAAGAGGGAAAAACTTGAAGAGATGAAAGCTATCATTTATTGACTAAAAACTTTTACCTTATTAAGTGTATCATTTTTCACATATTTTTAATCTGATCTCCTGAATTTGTTCTCACTTTTGCTTAGGACCTTAGCATCAAACCCCAAACTTTGCTCCATACAACAAGACCTGGGAAATCTACCAGCACCTTGAACACTTCAACTGCTAAAACACGTACAGAAGACAGAAAGGTTAGTATGCATTTTTATGCCTTGCATTTCATTTATGGACATTAATTTTCTGAATCTAATACATGGTGAAAATCTCTATTTCAGATTTATGTTCGTGAACCAGCACCCCCATTTATTTCAATCTCACTCTTTTCGTGTTTAATATAATTTTTATCTTATTCTCCAAACTCTTTTTCTCACTCTTTTCGTGTTTTTGTTTATCTTCCCATTCTTTCTCCTTTTATCCTCCTCCATTCGTTTTCTCTCTTTTATCCTCATCCACCTTCTTTCTCTTTATTCTTTTCATTAAAGTGTAATGTTTATCTATCTCTCCATTTGGACACTCATTCTTCATTTTCCATATTCCTTCAACTTCTCTTTTTCTTTGTCTTTTTCTTCCTATTTTTCTTATTGCTCTTCCTCGTTTTTTTAATCTATTGCTGCTCTCTTTTTCTTCTCTTCCTTGTCCCTGTCTATTTTTCTTATTGCTCTTCCTCCTTGTTTTTTTAATCTACTGCTGCTCTCTTTTTCTTCTCTTCCTTGTCCCTGTATTAATTCTCTTTCTTCTTACTTTATCTTCTTCTTCTCTTTCTCATCTTCCTCTCATTTTCTTATTTTTTTCCCTTCTTTTTCTTTCATGTTCTCCATTGTTTCCTAAAATAATTCTCATATTTCTTTTCCCTTCCTTCCATGTTCTCATAATTTTTATAATTCTATCTTTCTATTAATATCCTCGTCACCTTTTTTATCTTCTTTTAGTTTGCTCCTTATTGTTATCTATTCATTCTTTTCATCCCTATTTTTTCCTTCCACCTATCTTCCATTTCATTTTTCTTTATCTACTCTTTCTTCTTCTCATCTTTCTCTTTTTTATTATGCATTATTCTCTATGTCCTTCTTTTTTCTTATTTTCCTTTTTTTTTTTGTTTTCCCCTTCTATTTTTCCATTTTTTTCCCCTTTTATCTTTAATTTTTATCCTCTCCTTTCCTTCTCATTCTCCAAAGTCTCTTCAACTTTATATTAATCTTTCCTTTCCTTCTCCTTGCATCTCTTATTTGTCTTGTTATTTTTCAACTTTCTACCTCTTGTTCTCATATAAATTCCTTTCTGGTTGTGCATGTTTATCTTTCTCATGGTGTGAGGTATTATTTTTCTCCATCTTGTCCTCGTATTTATTCTCTTTCTTCTTTTGTCTTCTTATTCTCCATCCTTTTTTAAAATAATTCTCATACTTTTTTTCTCTTCATTACTTTTATAATTCTTTTTATTACTATTCTCATCCTCTTCCTTTATCTTTTTTTAGTTCATTCCTTATTAATCTTTCCATCTTTTTCATCCCTATTTTTCTTCCTTCCACCTATCTTCCATTTCATTCTTCTTTGTCTACTCCTATTTTTTCTTCTACTCTTTCTCTTTTTTGTTTACATTATTCTATATTCGGACTCTTTCTTATTTTCTTCCTATTTTTTCTTCTTTTCCTTTTCCCCTTCTATTGTTCTATATATCTTTGATTTTTTTCGCCACTTGTCCTGCTTGTTCTCCAAATTTTCTTAACTCTCATCATCTTCGTCTTTTTATTTCTCTTCCCCTTCATTCTCCTTCCATCTCTTATTTCGTCCGGTTATTTTTTTGCTTTTAATCTCTCATCTAACTTCCCTTCTCATTTGTGCGTGTTTATCTCTCTTTTCATTTTGACCCGTTTTTCTCTTTCTCTCGCTTTTTTCCTCATCTCATTTTTCATTATCTTTTACTTCAAAATTTTCATTATTCCTCCTTTCGCCTCTCTACCCATTTCTTAATTTATTACTCTACTCTCTTTTTCTTTTCCTTTTCGTTCTAATACATCATGTTCTTTCTTTTTACTCTAACCTCCCTTTTTTTTCTTCTTAATTTGTATCATCTCTTTTCCTTCTTATTGTCCCAACTCATTTTCTCACTCTCTAGTCTTTTTGTTTCTCTTTCCTTCCTTTCTCCCTTTCTCCTTTTCTCCTTTTCTCCTTATCCTTCCGCTTTCTATCTCTTATCCTCATCCACCTTTTTATTCTTCTTCTCTTTATTCTTTTAATTAATTCTGTTTTGACCCCGTTCTTCATTTTTCATATTTCCTTTATCTTCTCTTTTCTCCTTGTCTACTGCCACTCTTTTTTTTCCTTCTCTTTGTTCTAATATTCATTCTCTTTTTTCTTATTAAATCTCATCTCTCTTCTTCCTTTTCTTCTTCTTCTCTATCTCATCTCACTCACATTTTCTCTCTAATTTTCTTCATTTTTCCCTTCGTTTAGTTCTTTCCTTATTGTTATCTACTTATCTTTTCATCATTTCATCCACATTTTTCCTTTCACCTCCCATTTCATTCTTCTTTATATATTCTTACTTTTCTTTATCATTCCTTGGGATGAGTGCTTTTTGATTAATCAATTTGGACTTCTCTGTGGTAGGTAATGGTAATATCGATAGTAATCTTCGATGTTTACTGTATACAACTATTGTCTGTTGTCTGAATTTCATTGCATGCCTGTTCTTGATTATTTTGTGTCCTAAATTCTTTTCTGTCCGTTTGATTTTTCCCACATTTTTGGATTCTTTACCCTTTCTTATATTTAAAATGATTTTCCAAGTTTTTAAGTATTTTTTTTTAATATGTTATTTTATTTTTTTTGAAAATTTTAAAACTAGAAGGGGGAAACGCAAGTTGTAGTACAGCAATTAGCTGGAGTTATAAACCTCCCGCCATCTAGGCACACCAGAAATATCATCATCAATTAGTCCTAAGATTTCATCACGTGGCTTCCGGAGGATGTGCAGTCCAGTAGGGTGGTGAGCTGAGATCTTCGCCAGGGCATCCGCTGCTTGGTTTTGATCGTGGACGATTGGCTCAACTTGCTATATTTCCAGATTGCGTAAGTCTTTTTTACATGCGGCAGTCCTCGGCTTACCATCGCTATTCATATACTTTGTGATCTCCTCAGCATCGCTTTCAAACACTGCCTTTCTAATCGCTTTCAAACACTGCTTTCAAACACTGCTTCTAAACCTCATTGATACTACTAGTTGAATGCCTTTCAAGAGTGCCCAGACTTCTGCTTCTAACAGAGAACAGTTGCCAATACTATGTAAATCCCATCTTCCACTCCCCCGAGCAGTCTCTAATAGCACCCCTACAGTTAGCTTTCTCTGTAACCATCCACGTTGACTTTAACAAACTCTTGCAGAGGACTAATCCAACACAGCTGCTTCCCAGAGGAGTGATCTGATTGTGACGAGAAGCATTTCACCCTTCCAAAGGCCCTGCCTATTCATCTTGCTGCGATCTAATCCATGAAATCTCAACGCTTAACATCTTCTTAGAGTTATTGAAGATCGCCTCGTTCCTGCACTTCCATATCCACCATGTTGTTAATGCAAAGAGT